AAAACTGGACAACTTCAACAATAGACCACAATTGGACGTAAAATACAAGTGCGCAGGAATTATGTGACAAGAAATACAACAGATAGGATAAACTACTCGATCAGATTGAAGTTAAGATCAACACTGCTGATATTGCTTTGAGCCATTATATATGGACCTAGAAATGCTGATGAGTTTTAAGTATTGTTGTACGATAAATTAGACTACTCATTCAGTTGTCATCTGATTCAGTCTAATCGGTTAATTAAAATATCCAATAAATTGATTGTCAAGTGAATCAGTTCACAAAAATGTCGAGTGTTTTTTACACACTCAGTACATGCTGTGTAAGTACTGAGACAACAGTAACACATGGATTCTAAAGCTTAGGTTTCCAGTGTATTTGTTATGAGTTTTTTTAATGGCAAAGGATGTAAACACAAATCTACATACCTGCAGTTTTACTGTTGTCATTTACATGGAGACGTCACCAAAATTATTATTGGCTGATTTGTTGTGAATATGGTTTTCTCTAATGAGCTGTTTTTTTTATTTTTATCTCTATCATGTAACCAACATTTACCTTGTACTGGCAAAATATACTGCTACTGAACAAAGAGTAGTTAGAAACCACTGAGTCTGATCTGTCGATTTTGCCAATCAGATCAACATGATCTAAACACCGGACAACTGTTTCGCTCATTTAGGACCGAGGTCATCAGTGGTGTGTCTGGAAAAATTTACCTCATAGAGTCGAGTTAGTTCAGATCACTTAAATCTGGCTAGCTGACTGGCATAAACCAGTAAACTTAAAATAGGATGAACAGTTCTAAAGTGATTTATAAATTGCATTGCCCACATCGACATTTCTCACAGCTAAGTGGCTTTTTAACTGATCAACTGTGGTGTCAACAGGGTTACCCTGCGTATGTACTATTGAATCCCATGCTTAATGAACTGCTCAAGCGAATTTAGGTTAGAGTTGTTAAGATCCAATATGACGATGAATGAATGAAATGAACTCAGTAGCCTGGCGCACATTCGTGCGGTAGTTAATGAGGACACCTAGTGCCTGGGGGGTTAATGATATTACCTGGCTACTCGGACCGCGACAGTTCGAGCGAGACTCGAACCCGCGACCCAATGGTTGAATCTCTTCTCCCTAGGAGCCACATCTCTACCAGTGTGATCATACGTTGATGGGTTTCGATAAGCTATTAATATTTGGCTTTGCTTACAACCTACAAGTAACCAATTATAAGGTTAAGTGGATGTAGCACCAGTCCATAAAGTCCGTGACTGTTGGTCTGAGTCATGTAGGGAGGTGCAGACTATTTGGCTGGGGTCTAGGAGACGATAAAAATCAGTGGCTAAAAATCGTTGACAATGGTACAGATGTATCCACTATTTGACGTCTTCCAAAGCTTGAATATTCGCACTGAACGTTTTGTTCAGGTTGTCTATTCTCTCACACAACTTTGTCTACTTTGATATGAGTCTTTTTTTATGAACTTGTTCATTGTATACTACTGTGAAGTGTGGCAACTTGAGGATATGCAGTCGGTTATGTGCTTGGTTCTGCGTTGATTTTGTCTATCTGTCTATCATACAATTATTTTATGCATGCATTACCTTGATATGTTTATAACTTCCAGTGTTTATAAAGGCTGGGAAATGTTATGATTTCAGAAAGCTGAATATTATTCCTTCTAGTTCTTTTTTGAGTACCAATTTATTGATGCATAAGTTTGTTAACAATAATAATTTTAAAAGTTATGAGGTGGTGCATACGATACTTTACACGTAGACTTCTAGCAGGTAGTCTCTTCTGAAAACTTGAAGAAAAGCATATACTCTTGGAGATAGATATACCAGTATCGAGTAAAAATAAATGCACAGATTTCAGACATGAATGTCTTTAATAAGAAAATATAAAGTTATAGGTTTGTCTAATTACTGTCTAACATATATGAATATGATGATCCTATCGGTATTGCATGGTTATAAAAGTGACTGGAATGATGAAAAGAGTTTTGAAAAGTCGTTGAATTACTCCTTTATTTCCTGCTGATCAACCTCGTTTTTGGCCTAAATATTGAACATGAGATTCTTAAAGTGTACGAACATAAGTCTTTAAAATAATGTTGACTCAGAACTATTTACTAGCTCGTTAGACTTCTCCCTTTGAGTGCTTGTAGTAGGCAATAATTTACTCTGATTGACTTTATTTGAACTGATTTATAAAAGGAAAAAGAAAGTCATTATGACCAAGGCGAAATTGATGTAACTGACATGGAGTTTTGAATCATGGGATCTGTTATCATTCAATGGTCTATTACGGTTCAGAAATAGAAAGCATATTTCAAATTTATTGATACAGTTTCGTGTATAATAGATGAAGGTTCGAAAATTCATGAATTGATTTCTATTCTCCACCTTCACACCTGGCCTTCACGCTGGTCATGCAGTTATCTTGTTACATACGGATGATGTTGCAAAAGTTATGGTGGTGCCATTTATGTAAAGTCTTAGAAATAGTCGCCTTAAGCGACCGCGTTTCACAATCGTAGAGTAGGACAGATTGAATTACTGTGCAGTATACTGAATCTTTATTGGGCAACCAGATGCCTCGTCTATATTAAATGTGGTGCAAGTTCGCGGTAATCAATCGAACTTTGACCTTATGGGTAAGTGAAGTGGTCAGTATACTCGATCACTTGACCGCATAATATCAAATGGATTATCGATACAGTCCTATCTTAAAGCGAAAATTTGTGTTTGGGAGGCAAGAAACGCATCTGAACTATCCTTGAATTGTTACTTAGTACGTTCAGAGGACTCTATCTTTTTTGCATTTTCACCTGTTAGAACGATATCGTCTGCGTACTTTCAGTCAACTAGGGAGTCTTCTGCAATGAGATCATTCCGTGCAAATTTTGATAAGGAAAGAATAACCGTTAAGACATCTATGAAAACATTAGGTCAAAATACAGAAAGGGGATATTCTTGATGACCACTACTGAACGTAGACATCTCATGCGATTGCTCACTGTACACTCTAACGTAGCCACATATGTTTCAGTATAAAACGTACAGCATAATGGTATACTTTTAAGGTAGCTCTTTCGGTAGACTGTTCCTTCATAATGCTTTTTAATCTGTGCGATCAAATATGACTTTTACGTCAAGAAATACGACTATCATCAGGCGCAAGTATGTATGTGTTTAAAGGTGTGGCAAAGGACAAAGATTGGTTTGCACACTAACGACCACGTCTGAAAACTGCCTGATCTGGGGTTTGGTGTTCCCGAGCTTCACTATGGCTTCTAATAATTATAGAACCTAGGATCTTAGACACTGGTCATTAGACCGATTCCCCTATGGTTATCATGAGAAAGATTTTTCTCCTTTCATAAAGACTGAAAAAGTCACCAACTGAGAAAAGTTTTATGGTATCATATCTAATTTTCATGCTATAGCTAATACTTTAGTTAGTTTAACTGACAGTCCCGAAGTACCATTCTTGAAAATTTTCGTTGCAAGAGTAAATGAAAGCAGTTGGATTGTTCCCCGAAGGGTTCGGTCTGTCTTTGCACCCATCTCTCTTGTGACTGGATCTTACTAGTTAGAAATCTATGGTTATCTAAGCAAAACTGTAGCAAGTGATCACTTTTATTGGCTTCATTATTTGAGATTCTGAAAGTGTCTTTCCGTGTAGCTTAGGATTTCTACGTGTTCCTTAAAGTTACTCGCTACGATAACCAAATATATCATCATTTGGCTGTAAGTAGGAGGCTAGGAATTTTTATTGAAGTTCTCCGAGCTGCAGGCAGAAGCTAAAAAAGGAAGTTGGCATGTTTCGCATTTCTTACTTTGACTACAACATTTAGCCGGACGGCGCACAAGTAACTATCAAATAGAATTTAGTCGACAAGACAGCTTCCTATTCAATAACTTGAGTTTATACTTTTACATGCATAACCACGAAAGCTGACTTTTCAGCTGCTAGATGTTAAAATTGTGAATTGTATAAACATACTGCCGTGACTGAGTCAGGTTAAGTGAATTACCATATTTAGGTTACATACGCGTGTCCAAGAAGTTCAGTATTTGTCTATGACTGGGCTTTTGAAGTTTTGGTTGATATGGCTCATATTTGGAGTGGACATGGGGTTTAGAAAATGAAAGGAGCGATATTTATTTCAAGACACAACTCTTGTTGACCAGGTATGCTTATCCAACAGCTGAAATCGTTTGGACAGCCAAGAGAAACTGATGCTTATGTGGAGTTATAATCAGGAAGAGGAAGATAATGAAAGTTTAGCAGGTAACATTAAAGAAGACTGAAGATGATGCGAAGAGGTTTGAGGGTTGGCACATGTATGTGAACAGTGGATGACAATTCCGTGTTTTGATGTTAAGTATTTTCAGTGGAAATTGATTGGTAAGCAGCTATGATTCACTGTTATCAGGTAATCGATCATTAATAAAAATATAATATTTAATTATGTATGTCAGGGTACCGGGTAGCAATCTCACTTCAACTGTCCATCAGCTCAATGAATTTGTAAATGTTTATGCGCTTGGTTAAATTCTAATAAAATTGTATTTCAGTCTAATTGGTGGTTAGCGTGTTTTCTATTTGGAACCCACTCGTCAGCTGGATGTACTTACACCCCAGTGAATGATTTTCTTCCCATGGAGACTCAGACCCAGTTCTCATTGTCTAAAATACCAAAACAATATTGTATTTTGTTACTTTAAATTCAATATTCCAAGTTTTGTCTCTGATTCAGTAATATATTTGATTTCTTTCATTTAGTTTTTCCTTGAGAAGTTTTATTGTATTCACTGTAGAAAAAAAACAGGCAGTAAAATACTTTCACGTTCAATATTTTTTGTTTTGTTTATCAAGGTGTGGTCATTCCATCCTAATTAAGTCTACATCCCATATATATTATCAATACACGTGACATAATTGTTAATCTTTTTTCTATTCTGTTTTTTCCTAATTTTTGTAGTCAAAAATGGATGGTTTTGTGATAGTTCATTTTATTGGTTGGTGGGCTAAAATGCTAATTCTTCGTGATTACTGGATATGTAATGTGCTTAGTTTTGCATTTGAAGTATTAGAATACTCTTTGGAGCATCAACTACCTAATTTTTCAGAATGTTGGTGGGATCATGTAAGTTTAATGAATGCTATAATATTATTTCATACTTTCATTTTAACACTTTTAACAAAAAAATAACTACACTGTCACGTTGATCATAGTTTTAAGGATAACTTTATGTCAAATATATAGTTTGTCAATTTATCGTGCTTTTAATTCTTTTAAAGAAGAACTTATCAGGTATAGGTTTGAAATTCATAATGTATTTTTTGAACAGACTAGTCACCAGTGTTATCTTCACGTAGAGTTTTAGTTAGTACTTGTCAATGTACAATATTTATTAGGTCACTGTAGTGTCCACATTTTAAATTGTGTGCTACACATTTCAAATGTGCATATGGTTCTCTTTTGGAGATGTGATAAATAATGTGTGCTGAGTGTAAAAAAGGTGAATGGAATTATTCAACTATCAGTTAAGTTTCGCTTAAATCTAGCATATATTTCTCGAACAGAATTATCAAAAATGCAGGAAATGGTATGCTCGTACTTCAGTTGGATCAATTTAAGAGACTTATTAGTCTGAAACTAGTTTTCATCAGGCATTGAAATCAGTGGATTATTCGAAACTCTGATGAGAATTTGTTGCATGTGGGTATGAGGTGGATCCCCACCGATGAAATGTAGATAATGGTCATGCAAACTGACAAAGTTAGGAAGTAGTGAACCATTGAATTCCAACCCATTGGCTGGTCTACAACTATTTTTAGTATAAGGATAGGGTGTGAAGTGGTTGAGTGTGTCGACCAATTCTCTTACATCAGCTCGAACGGGCTGATTGGTGACAAAATTTCCGCTTAGATACAAAAGGCCCTTCAGGCACTCGCCAACTTGCGTCGTTTCTGGCAAGATATCCGACTACTTATTACAGGATGAGTATGCTGTGCTGCAGTTCGTTTTGTCTTGTTATCCGGCTTTGACACATAGCCGTTGAAAGTGGAAGACATGAAGCGGTTACAGGGTTTTGATCATACGTGTCTTGGTCACATTGCTCGCTTATGGTGGGATCATTATGTTAGTAATGTTGAGGTTAAACGAAGGTTACTAGATAAGTCGATTGACGAGTTTGTGAACCTTCATCGACTGAAATGGCTAGGACATATACCGCGCGCGCTAAGCCACTGCCCAACTCGAGGTGTAATGGTAGGGGAAGTTGTATCCCGTTAAAAAGTTGGCGACACTAAAACGTGACACTAGTGCACAGAGCTCCTAACTGTTGGTCTGAGCCTTGCAGGGAGATGACTGGTTTCCTTTAGACGATAGGAATCAGTGGTTGACTACTGACTCTTGGTGGCATGGCTGAAAACCGACCGCAATGACGCAAATTTATTCACTCTTTAATGTCTTCTAAAGCTTAAATGTTTTGACTAACCTTCATCTTTAAATTCTTTCTTCTCCTATGCACCTTTGTCTACTTTAATATGAATCTTTTCCTATCCACTTGTTCTTCATATACGTAAATTGTGGCACGTGTGTGCGAGGTTCTACGTTGATTTTGTCGGTCTGCCTGTCAACTCACACGCCATGAGGCCTAAGGATTATGAACTCCATTCCTCATGGAATACTTGGTGCACACTATTTAGGACTCCTGAATTGGAACGAAACACGTGTCTTGTTCTGTCACGTTTTCATTGGCTCTCCAACTTATATCAATCTTTAATGAAAACCATTCTCTTGTACTTCTTACTTTTTCAAACATTTAAAGAGACGATATTGGTTAAGATTGGTCAATATCGAATATGGTCAAGTGAAAACTTATCAAAACCTCACTAAATTTATAACAGTTGATTAGAAGCATTCACCTGTTTTAGGTTATCTGAGTGAACACGTCTTTAATGTAAATATGGAGTTCAGATAGATAATAAAGAGAAGCAATAGTTACTTTTAGAATTCCGATAGGATCCATTCTTTTTTCCCATTCGCCTTATATGGAAATGTTCTAGGTACCAACTGTCTAATATTTTCTGTATATTCCTATACCGTTTCATGGTTTGAAAGTGCTCAAAAGTATACCGCTTTGAAATATGCCGATTCAGTAGGTGGTGTTACACAACACTTAGGCTGAGTCAGTCTTGAGGTTTTTGAGGATTTAATTATTGATTTTAGGTTGGTAATCATCATGGGCTGACATCAGTTGGAGAAGCATTGGAAACCTTCAAGCACTGGACAGCTGTTTCTTCCTAGTCGAACAATGAGGATAGTTACTCAACGATAGCATTGAATCGTGATCACGGTATGTCGCAAGCTGACAGAAGTAGGAAACACAAACCATTGGATTCTCACCCAGTGGCTCAATAGTAACGAGATAGTTGTGGAACCTGAAGATCCTGGGTTCGGTCCCTAGTGGGGCATGGTCTTGGGTACACACTGACGAGGAGTCCCATACTAGGAAAAAACAGCTGTCCAGTGCTGCCAACGTTTCTCCAGTTGATATCAGTCAATGATAAATACCAACTTAGACTAAATCTTTCCGTTTCACCAAGCGTCAGCATTCCTGTACTTTTTCTTGTCATAAGATGAAAGTGTGAATATGCATGTACACACACATTTATATTCATTGCATACTGTATTGATAAGTTTTGAATATAAAATGACATTGCACTGACATACTTCTGCATTCAGTTTGTAATTGAAATACTATAGTACAACTAATCCAACTGTTATTTACTACTTTCGATGTCATAGTGGTAAATAAAATTACAATATGTGGAGGTGTGATTTACCCAAATCGATGTAACCTATTCACTTCTACAAAAGGTCAATAAAAGCCTGAAGGAAAATACAGTGGTTACGTATCTGACTGGCTTTGGATTTCTAAAAGGAATCACTTCCACTGAAGTCGACGTAGACTTTGCACCAGAGAGTAAACGAGCTTAAAATTTAGGTCCTTGGCTTCCTGCTGAATTATTGAAGAATCAAGCATGAGAGTATCTGCAGTTAATGGTTCATTTCTTACTTTATCTGTTTCGATGCCACTTATGAAAGCAGAAAGGGACTGAAGTGGTGGTTAAATGTGTTTATCACTTCACTAACCTGAAAATTTGAATCGGCCTTGATGAGCTGAGGACTCACGAAATCTACTTATACCTAATGACGTGTTAAGAAATCTGACTACCTACTAAAGGCCTAGTTTGGTAAACAACAGTCCACTCTATTCTACTTTATGACAAAGTTGTCGTCATTAAAAGCAGAGGACATCAAAAAACTGAAGTGATCAACCACAGTTGCCTTCATAGCATTAATCGCACGTCATGGAACTATCACATGAGTAATGCAGGAATATGTGGATGATTCCTTATAAGGTTATAAAAGTTCATCACCTGACGTGTTTGGAACATGCGTTACGCATACTGAATTATCATTATGTTAGCTGAAATAAAGTATCACTGGAAAAAAGTTAAGGGTGACCAGTATGAATATGACGTCATTTCATCATGACGTTTTGGGATTCTGGTCTCAGCAGTGTAATAAAATTCTGACTTCTAGTTTGCGGTCTACGTGGTATCAGAAAACTGTGGATGGAGGCTCGGAGTGACAAACTGAAATCGTTTGCGATGAGGCAGATGCATTCCTGCCTTATCCTATACCATCTTACACCACGTTTTGTTGAATTTGACTACATTACTTTCATTTCTTCTTTGATGCCCTGTGTCGTAATGGGCTGAAGAGAGGTGTTGCATTTTTTGCAGCATTAAGTAGTAATGCGACGGAATTCTGTTTTCATCCAATTTATTCCCCTTAATTATCATCTTTGTGCACTTTGTAGACAGGTGTTGCCAATCATTGTTATTGTCCCAGTTGGACGAAAACCATTATCCGAACTGCGTAGCTAGCTGTACAATACCGGTGAAAAAACTCATGATTTGCAATTATGTAGACATTTCTTATATATTTCCCCCTAAAATGTTCAGTCTAGCCAATCGCAGACAAAACTAAAGACTACAATTAAGCGAAATTCATTGTATTGTAGTCTATTTGATGGCTAGCAGTGGAATCTAGGACACGCGTTTCGTCCTATTTGGGGCCTATTCGTCAGTTGAAGGTCCGGGACCCTAGTGAGTGGTGCTGTTTCCACCGGGACTCTAACCCATTACCCATCACTTCAAAAGTCAAAGGGTTATCCACCACACAAGAGCCACTTGAGCAACAGGTATCAGTTGTTGTTTATTGATGCCATTAATTCTCTGTTGTTATACTGGGTCGAATTGCTGTATCTGTGTTGGCATAGTGGCTGCTATGCAGATACCTCGATACTACAATAAACGAAAACTGATATCCGTTGCTCAAGTGGTAGCTGTCGCGCGGTGAGTAACGCTTAGGGCTTTGAAGCGATGGATACTAGGTTCAAGTCCCCATGGGAACAAAATCACTCACCGAGATGCAGGTACATCCAGCTGATGACTGGGTCCCAAGTAGGATGAAACACTTGTGCTGGATTCCACTGCTAGCCATCAAACAGACTATAATATAATGAATATACGGACAGTATCGAGATATCCGCATAGGAACCCATCTGCCAACTGAACTTGGACAGTTCAACTCAGTATAACAACGCGGAATTACAAGTATCCATAAACACTAAGAGAAATTCACTTGTTTAGGATGTTAAATAAGAATAAGTTTAACAGTACCTAATGAATACAAATATGCCTGTAGATGAATGTTCATACCATCCTGTTATGACAAGAAAAATAAAATGGAATGTTGACACTGGTAGAAAGGGAAAGGAAGTAACCGAAATGTCATGTAACATCATTTAGTGGTTGATTCATGTAGATACTTGGCATATTTCGAAGCACTACACTTTTCAATACGCTCAAGACATGAAGCAGCTTATAACCGGAATTAGGTGTCAGTCGTTCCAGGACTGGCAATCCCTGATGAAAATGATGTGTAAACGAATGTAAGAAACTCATCGTTAGCATTTTTAACAAATACAGCGTGATCTTTTATAGTGTTTTTTTTTAGTCAGTAGAAAATTGTTTATATTTCATCTCAGTCTCCTAGGCGTTCCTCTTTTAAAAAAGGCTTTTTTTTAAAACAATGTCTTTCTTACATAATTAAGTTTTAATATAATCCTAACATGTTAAGAAAATCAAAACAAGATTTTTTTTGAACGTTTTGTTGTGTATGTCACACTTTGAGAAGAATGTTCTGATTTTTTACTCAAAAACAAAATATTTACTGTCAAACGGTACATGTATGAACTTCTGTCTTTACAGCATTGGTTAGCTGATTTGTTATCCAGACTGATTACTTCTAACTAGTCAGCGTTAATTCATGTAGCTTTTGTCATTCGTCATCAAAAACAATATTCAATGATCAAAGTGTCTGTATGTGTAAATGTTATAGAAAATGTATGTGTCGATCGTTGTTTATCGTTTGAAAATATATATATATTGAAAATATATATATATTCATAGACAATAATTGATCTATATTATTTGTTTGCTTTTTAAAAAGTACTATCCGAAATGGTGACTTTTTAAAAATGTTTTCGCTTTGAAGGCAGCAGTGGTCAAACACCTGAAGCCTTCTCATGTCCTCTACCCTTAATCGCCATGTTTCACAGTGATACAACAGAACAGAGCAGACTACTGCACAGTACACTCGACCCTTAATGGACAGTCGGATATCTATGCGGTGCCACAGATGGTGTAAGTTGGCGAAAGCCAATCGAGCCCTTTGCATGCATGCGGAGATTTCCTCGGCCACTGACCAACACACCACGACTGACCCGACTTCCCAGATAAATGAAGTGTTCAACGAGCTGAACCACTTGACTGTTTATTGTTGGTCGGGGTACCGTTGAAGACCATTCTTGGAGCAACAGTTTGCACTTGGGTGGGGGAGAAACTCATCCCAAACATTGTCAAATTGCAGTTCAAGGTGTCCAGACGACGCTGCATGTTGTCAGCATCTCGACTTAACAGGACTATGTGATCTGCGTATTCCAAGTCTACGAAGGCATCTCTTGTGATTATATCTGTCCGTAGGATGTCGGATGACGAGAGGGAGACCTCCATAAGAAGACCTATGATGAGGTTGAATAGGAAGTGAGAGAGTGGGGATCCTTGACGGACACCACTCGATGTGCACAAGTCACCCGATATCTCACCATAGGCTGTAACATGCCCACAGGTGTTTGAGTAAAGAGCGTTGAATAGTGTGATTTACTTACTCGGTCCCCCTTTCAATGAGAGACACTGCCATAAGACTTCTTGATCGATGGAGTTGAGTTCCGCCTTCATGTAAAGAAAAACAGCTATTGTTGGTCGTTGGTAAGCGTACTTGTGTTGCAGAACCTGACGGAGTGTGAATATTTGGTGGAGACATGTGCGACCAGATGTGAAGCCTGTCTGGTTTTCTCAGGTTTGATGTTCCCGATCTCCACTCAGGGGTCTAATGATTATGGACCCTAGAATCTTAGGAACTATGTTTGTCAGGCTGACTCGTCTGTGTTTATGAGGAGGGAGAGGACTTCTCTCGTTTCTTGAAGATTGGTGTAATTGGTGATTGAGACCAGTAAGAGGGGATCATATTTGACTCGTATGGACTAGTTAGTACTTCAGTTGACTTGATTAAAATCACTCTACCATTGTCGTTATATATTACGGGAACTAGTCCGTCTGGACCTGCTGCCCTTCCTCATCTCTGCGCGGATACAAAAGGCTCGATTGGCTTTCACCAACTCACTCAATCTGTGGCTCCGCCAAGATATCCGATTGTCTATTAATAGTGAAGTGTACAGCGCTGTAGTTTGCTGTTCTCCTGTGACTGTGAACGTAGCCATTCTTGGTGGAGGACATGAGAAGGCTACAGGTGTTTGACCACCGTCATCTGCATAGCATAGGCCGTGTGTTTTCACGTGAGTAGTACAGGAGATAGGTGTAAAGTCTTAAAGAGAGGAGAAAGCTTAGTTGCTGAGGTCATGAATCTTCGTCGACTTAGAGGACTGGGACATGTATTACTCGTGCGTAGTCACCGTCTGCCTTATCGCTCAATGTTAGTTGAAGTATGTTCATGCATGGAAAAGGCTCTAGACAACTAGGCTAAAACATGGCATCAACGCATGAAATCTTCGACCGTTGGTTTTAAGCATGTTGCTAGGTGCAGACTAGCCGATTGGGGTCCCCATGACATCGGAAACCAGAGGTTGGAGACTCTAGGTGGTGTACTCAGAATCGATGTCAGTGGCGCAGATGTATCCACACTTCATCTCAACCTCTTTGCTGAATTCAGCACTTTCTCATCCCTCTCTTTTACTGCATTCGACGGATTCTTCTTTATTTCTTCATCTTACTACTTTGTTACTTGTTGTGCTGATATGAGAACTGTCAACTACGACCGTTGTTCAGTAATGCTTGGTCTTATTTTGACATTGATTGACTTCGCTTGCTTTGGTTTGGCCAACCGCATAGTATTGCAAGCCTTCACACAATTAGTCTGTTTCATAGCCTCGGACATGTAATTAAGTACTGAGTCGAGTTACATTCAATTTTTTTGTTTGAATAAAGCATTTGCATACACATGGATGTCAGTAATATGAATCAATAGCTGAAGCAATAGTTGCTGATTTAGCTTTTTTTGTAGATGAATGTGGTGATAAATGTTATGTTTAGACTCGGTTACTTTCTCCTAAACATATATGATTATAAATTTCCAACTTTCAGTTTTATCTGCATGTGGTCTAAGTATCTGGGAAATGATTACTAATGTTAGTGAAGCGATGAAAGAAGGCTAAAACCATTGTGATTGGAGTGATCTATTGGCAATTTACGCATTAAGCTGTAGAATATTTTAGAGTTTATTGGCAAGACAGACAAGTCGACTGATGAGGTTGTCTACCTTCATCGGCTGAGTTAACTTGGACATGTCTTGCTCATGCCGAGCCACCGCCTATCTCGATGTGCCATGCTAGCGGAAGCTGGATTAGGTTGCAAACGGGTTCAGCGTGGCACTGGCCAATGAAATCTCTGACTGTTGGTTTGAGTTGTATAGAAAGATGTAGACTGCTTGGGGTCCCCGAGTCAAAATGGATCAGTGTTTGAGGATGAAAAATGATGTTGATTGAAAATTGGTCACAATGGTGCAGATGAATTCACTCTTTGATATCTTCTAAAGGTTGAATATTTACACTAATCTTTGTCTTCAAATTGCTTATTCTTTCACACAACTTTTGTCTACTTTGATATGAGTCCTTTTCTTTATACCTGCTCTTTGTATACTATTGTGAGGTGTGGCAACTTGAGCGGATGCAGTTGTGTGCTTGATTCGACGTTGATTTTGTCGGTCAGTTATTTGTGTACAGGAACTAGTTGATGTAGCCTCAAATATCTGTTTTATTGCGTGTCAGATACTTTCAAGTCAGCAAAATATTTCCCTTTTAACATATGCATTCACTACACTTGGTTGCGATGGGTAAATAAAATGATTTTACATCATCTACTAAATTTAAGCTTTTAGGATAAAACACCCTCGTTTCTATGTTAGCGTAATGTTGCGAAACTTTTTTAAGGGTTTTTAAATATACAGCGTAATCTGCTTTTTACGAAATTTTTAGTATTTTAAAACGTAAACACACAGTAATCTAGAGAATAATGGTCTGACGTTTGTAACGAAAGGTGCTGGTTCAAAGTCTCAGTGGGAACAGTATCACTCACCGGGATACAGGTAGGTCCAGGTGATATATCTCTGGTAGAGCGAAACGCACGTCCCAAACCCCACTGCTACTCACTACCTATCAAATTATAGCTTCCGAACTAACTTAAATTCTTGAAGTTTTTCTGTATCGTTTGTTTATTTATTTATTTAGTTATAGATCTGGTCCTTTTTTTAACGTGAAATTCGCTCTACTTTTCAATTTACTTCTTCTAGTGGATAATGGACTTTTTAGGCTGCAACCTCCTTGGAATTTGGTTGGGTATGAAAACTATGAATTATTTAAGTATGAAACACTATCACTGGCGTGGAATGTGGAATATTCCTAGTTACAGGTAATTTAATGTTTTTTTCTCTGCCGAATACAAAATTATAATCGCTCATCAACTGAAATTTATTTTCACTTGATTGCTTTCTATGGGCACAAGATGCAACGCCATCAACTACTTTAGAATTGTAAAAAATATCCAATAGGATTTTTTTTACTATGATACATGGCTTTTCATTTGGAATTTTAAATTTCCTATAAATATTACTGACTTTTCAAACTTTGAATTTGACTGTATACCTTTGTAAAAATGATTTCTAACTATTGTGTATACTTTTCTAAACACCATAGACAAGTAGAGCATGCCACCTGGTTGAGTTTAGCAGTGATTGGCTTCATAGATCTATCCAGTTTCTCATCGTTGCCTTCTACAATTATATCTCATGCTGCACTAGATTATGACTTAGTAAATGTGAAAAGGGCCCCAAATCCCTTTGTGAGTCCTTTGCCTTCCTTAACTACCAGTTTACGCCTAGCTTTGACACTTCTCACTTGCTGCTTTTATCACACACAATCAAGACTTCAGTGATAAATTATTCCATACTAAAAAGAGTATATTTCCTGGTCATAGAGTAGGGTATCTAGTTTTGTTGTGCAGCCAGTGCTTTAGATGAGCGGCAAATGTCAAACGAGTTTATTGTGTTCAAACCTGGGGGTCCTATAGTGATGAATTTAGCTCACCAATGCAACGAACTTCACTCTTCATTATGAAACTAACCTCTAATACAGATTACTACTTCTACAATATCGACTTGTACCTAAAACTGGAAAACGGTATAATAAATGATCCGAAAACTTCCTTCAAGATATATTTGTTCACATCTATTGGAATTCAGATACTGCTTTTGATTTGTTGAATCTAGCATCGATTTGCATTCGAAGAATATGGCCAATATGAGATGTTAATAAGCGAATGTGTACTTCACAATCCCAGTAAAAGATTAGTCGATACATCTTCATTTGAATGGAAGCCTTACCTACCTTTATTGAATTTACTCGTCCCGAGATCAAGTTAGAAATCGAGTAATTAGGGATTTTATTGTTTTAGGAAATGTGTTATTTCAACCGGTCTTTCGGTTGTGACAAGATAAATCCTACTGTACTCTTTCAACCGGAGTGAATAATGGTGCAAATCACTTTGATGAGACTTTCTATCATTATCATACATCAACTATCTATTCTTTTTAAAGCGTCTTAGGGTAGCCAATACTTTTCTTTGTGTTATGGTCGTAAGTGTTCTTAGTTTTGTCAACGCTAGGATCCAAGTCACAATAATATGGGTCAGTCGAAGTGTTTCTCATAGCGTATCGCTTAGCTTTCTGCCTGAGTGTTTTGGGAACTTTATAGCCGCTTGTAGTTTTAACGAGTTTTATTGACGATTGTATGTAAGAAGTTATAATAATTGCAGACTAGTTTGTAGGTTGGTTAAAACATAGACGGTGGCATTCTAATAGAGCTCATGTAAGAGTGACTTGATCTTATGAAAGAGTATCTAACTAGCTATATCCATATGCGCTGGTGTACAAAAACACAGACATCTTATTTTTGCTCTTAGAAGATTCATTACTTATTAAATACAAGCAGATACTTAACCTTTTGGTAAAGTATCATGCATAAGAAATAACTACTTTCCCATATGTAGTTTTCAGTTCCTTGCAAACAACCATATCAACGTGGAAACCTACACATATATGTGTATCAAGTAAAGTTGCCACACTTCGCGGTGGCTGAGAAAAAGGAAGAGAATATTTAGTATAATTTTTAATTCATGAAAAGAAAAAACGTTTCGAAATGAGTGAATGAAGATTAGTAAAATTACTAGGATGATTAATACTGAAAGCATCTCCACCATTATAATAGATTCGCAGTTGTTCTTCTCATGATTCTACAGTCACTGATTACTAACTTATCAAAAACTTCACTAGGTAGTCCACATAATAGAAAAAAAATCCGAAACTTTACGAATCGATTTCCCATATTGGTCTGACTGGCTACGCTCGGTTTGACTTTAACTTGCTACAAACTCTGTCGAGAAAAACGATGGGTGGAAATTTGTACGATCTATTTCAACCAGCTGAGTTGGTGAAGGTTCACAAACTCATCGACTAACTACTCATCCTCCTTTTATATGCCTCAAAACGGCTTACTTTGTGGTTTCATCAAATCCGAGCAAGATTGAGAATATACTTGTAACCCTCTTGGCGTCTTGTTTCAAAGGTGTAAAGAGAAGGTTGCTATGCTGGCAATGCAGTCTAACCAGAATCTTCTTGACACTCACTACTCCAAGTAAAGTTAGGAACGGTCGATTAATTCTGATTCCATTGAGTTGCAGACTTCCGTGTATGATCCCGTCTACCACCAATGACCGTTAAGTTCATAATATGCAACTGTTCACCTTGAATTTAGTATCAGACCCTTGTTATTAGCTAGGTAGGCTCCAATGCCGAAAATTCTACTTACAATGGGAAATAAGTTGTGTCCGAAACGTAATCCAGTGGGTAATACTGTTCCACTATATGATGTTTCTCATAAGTCAAAATCGAATTCAGGCTAGTATGCATTATGAACTGATATCAGTTGGAAAACCATTCGAGATGTGATTCCCGAAGTTCTAATGGGAAGTTGTGACCGCTGGGACCAACCAACGACGGCATTGGATGAAGGTCGCCCTATAACGTTAACTGACAGAAGTGTGTACCACTGGATCCCAACCCAATGGCTCGATGGTAGCATGGCGGTCGCAGAACCTGAAGACCCTGAGTTCGATCCCTAGTGGGGCGGGGTCTTGGGTACACGTTTGTGAAGAGTTTCATACTAGGGCGAGACAGCTGTTCAGTGCTCCCAGGTTTCCAATGTTTCTTCAACTGATGTCAGTCAGTGATGAATACCAACCTGAAATCAATAAATGAATCCCCACTAACCTCCAAATTAAAATGGAATTGCTGTTTACTTGTCTGTCCGGCGGATTCGTTGTTTACTTAACCTGCACTTTTTGTTGTTTTTTCGAAAGTTAAATTCTGATGCAACTGCAGTCACGTAGGTTGGTTAGAAACTAGGTACATACAACCTGGGTTAATCCAATCCCTCTGAACCCTTAAGGAAGTGTTTTTATGAAACTAACACAGGTGAATGTGAACAGGGATGCAGCGTGGAAATGATTTACCCATCTGTAGTATGCAATGCTCTGTAAAGACCCTGCTATCGTATATCTATCTATCTTTACTGCAACTCATCACTTTTCTTTCCTATTGAAAGATGACTAAAGTGCTTTTAGGAAGGAAGACATCTACTGTCTGAAATAAAATAGACAGCAATAAGTTTCATGTACGCTACGCTGAGTAGAATCTGTCGCTGAAGTCTATCTTCTTCATCAGATTCTTAGTAAGTTTACTCTCGTATTTATTGATACAGTTAAATCATGTCTTTCTCAACTTGGGGTTGAGTCTCCCAACTAATCGTACCACTACGGAGTTACATTGCACAAGGGTTATGAAAGCTTACGAATAGTTATGATAAAGTCAAAAGTATACCTCAGGGAGAATTGTTTTGTTACTTAACGATCCGCCTAAATACAGTTCTGTGATAGTTGTACAAAATACAAAATGTCCTTGCTGTCGAAGTAAGAATTAAACACGGCTTAACTACTTTCGTGGCTCACCGGTGTTACAAGCGCAGATCAATTGATTTCGATAACTTACATGCTCTAACGCTACTTATCGAAACCGAAGAATGATGATAGAAAGCCTGTCAAAATTAAAATTTTGTACTAAGACAATCAGGATACTTGTGGTGGTGCAAAGTCGTGTCTGTAACCACTTGCTAGGATTATTTTTGATTTCCAAGCTATGTAACAAAACAATGCAATTCTACGTCAACTGTTGTTGAATGGAAAGGCAAAACACGCGTGGTTTCAGATATTGCCTAACACTTCTATGTAAGGTGTTTTTCACTGTTTATTATTTCATTTTTGAGGTTTGTGGGGATTTATCTACCTTGCTGAAGTCGCAACATATCCCAATCATAAATCTAGTAAAAGTAGATAATCTGAAAAACGATTTAACAGAAAAATCATTTGTAATATTAGAAAAATAGGTTCATGGCTATGGAATTAAGATAATAACATTCTTAATTTGTAAAGATTCTCATATTGAAATGTTACTAACAAATATAACATTAGTGTCTGTCTAATTTCGAATAAATATGCTGATAATTTATGTTTCAGGGGGAAACTCCGTAGAGCCATGCTGCAGTTTACTCCACACCGGTGGACCGATTTTGACTGGCATCCGACTGGCAGCATGAAACGATGGTTGGGAACTTTGTTTCTTGGGGTTGTGGTAAGAATAATAATTTTTAGAAGTTTACTACAACCATCGTAATCATAATGAGATAACATTGACCAATCTACAATTATAATAGAATTAGTGTAATTTATCTTACTACTTGGTTGCATGTGTCTAATGTCACACAAACTTGAAGATCTATAGGCAAAATCCAACAAGTTGACAGAAGAGGCAGCGAAGATACGACTTCAAGTGAACGTAGAGAAGACAGAGGTGATGAAGACACCCAGGCAACAACAACAAGCTCCAATCCCCATCAAGGGGAGAAACTTGAAGGAAGTAGCCTCTTTCACCTATCTAGGCAGCAACGTCTCAACTACAGGCGGCACAGACGAGGACGTCAAAGCCAGCAAGGATCGGAAAGACAGCAACACAGGCGTTCATTAACCTGAAACCAGTGTGGAGATCTTCCGCACTCAGCATAAAGCGTGAACAATATCCGTATTTTCAACACCAAGTCAAGTCAGTGCTTCTATATGGTTCAGAGACCTGGCGCGTTACGAAAGGCATTTCCAACAAACTGCCGATATTCATCAACAACTGCCTACGCTGGCTCGTTACTGAAGCTCAGATGGATTGCCAGAAAGAATAAACAACAAGGAGCTCTGGGAACGAACCAACGAAGCAAGAACCTATCGCTCAACAAATATGCAGAAGGAAATGGAGATGGATTGGGCATTCACTGAGAAGGCCGACTGGGGACATCACGCGACAGGCACTCGAGTGGAACCCAGATGGGAAACGACGAGTTGGGCGTCCGAGACGAGAGTGACATGGAGGAGATCGTGTGAGGAAGAAATGAGAGCTTGTAGGCAGCTGTAGTGCCAGGTTCAAAAGATTTCAGAGAACAGAGTTCACTGGAGACGTGCTACTGAAGCCCTATGTTCCACTAGAAACCTAAGGGACAAACAATAATAATACATATACTTGGTTGCATAACGGTTTGGTGTCCCTTCTGAAGAAGATTCCTGTTGATTCAAAAGCATTTGGAATGAAATGTTCAACGACATGAGTGTCTTTTAAGATCGGTTAGTTGGGTCAGTTAAATAGTGAAATAACCAACACTGAATAATACATCATACTGTAGGCTACCATTACTATACTGACAAGTTTTATGTCATAGTAACCATACATTTCAACCAAGAAAGCCTTCTTGACACGAAAAGTAGTTATCGTACCCTTAAGTGGTCAAAGATATTTTACTTTCTGTATATTTTCACAACCTCCTTCATTCATGAAATAACTGGTAACGTATTGTATATGTAATCTAAAAAACTGCACACATTAAGTACACTTCTCCCCTCATGTTTAAGCGATGCGGAAAAAATATTTTATACTAGATTTCCTAACAAACTTATTATTACAGTTTGAAATTTTATTCAAACAGGCGTTTGCTCATAGATATTAATAATGCACTTTTCTAAGCTATGGAAATGAAACTTTAAAATTAAAATTTTAAACCATCATACATTTTTTAAGTGCTGATCTTCAAACTTTCGCTCTAGTTTTCAGAATTAACTACACACGTACAAACCCTGAAAGTGTTAGGAACATTTACAGTCTATATTTTACAGATTCATGTCACCTGACTCTAATTTAATAATTGCTCAGCAAAGTCTATGTGCTTGGGGTACAAGCCGCACATATTTCATCAGGACTTATGATACTATCACGCATACAAACTCAGTATTAAGCGCAACCGAATTCACTTATGAGGTAGGAAGTGAACAAGGCGAATCAGCTACGTTCGACTGCAGAGTAAAACGAGGAACAGACGGTGACGTAGATGCTACCGTCCACAAGAAACCGACAAATCCTAACAGGTATCTAGGGTTCAGGTCATTTCATTCAATGTCCGTTGAGGTGGATTTAGTCAAATGTTTAAATGATAGAGCTAGTAAACTCACTAGTCAGTTTAAGGATTTAAACAAAGAAACGAAATATATAAAAGGTCTACTAATTAATAATTATCTTCTACCGCTTATTAAGAAGTTCGTACGGATATATAAGGAACGAAATAGTAACTGTAATATGAATATGAACCGTAGGGACAACGTGAGTAGAAAGGAGTTAAAAGCCTCTATCGTATTACCATATACGGAAGGCACACCAGAAACTTTATGTGAAATTCTCAACAAGGCTGGAGTTAAAGTGGAATTCTCAATTACAAACTCACTCAAATATAAGCTTTGTCGGCTTAAAGATCCGATAAAACCAATAAAGCAAAATAATCTAATCTATCAAATTTCATGCAATGACTGTGGCATTGGTCAAACTATCGGTCGGGGTCGGTTAGATTATCGGAAAGTAGGAATCTAGCCAGATATAGGATCAATATTCTAGAGAAAAAACTCGGCTTTTGCAATGCACGCATTAACACAACCACACAATAGAGTGGGACAAAGCCGCTGTACTCAAGCCCAATATAATTAGGTGAAGAGAGAAACTTTGCTCACTGAATCAACATCTGACACATGCGATAGGAATGATGCAACAGCTGTACCAGAAATGTGAAAATTTTACTACCCGTGAGAACAAAGAATATGAGTTGACAGGACTATAGAAACCAGATGTCGAAAGTGGTGTGATATATTTATGAGGAGTAACTTGTTCGAAACATCATCAATACTGCTTCACTGTGTGATGTGTACCGAATAAAGTGAAACGAAGTTTGGATCCATGATTCATTGTTTGAATGTCAGTAACTCTAGCTGATGCACTCAGCAGTTGTTTAGTAATTATACGTATAACAAGATTGTTTCTGAAAAAAATTTCCACTGTAACAGTCTAGATGGTTTAGCATCACCATATTTATGCAGTACAAAATGTTTTTTCTGTCCATAAAACTTTCTTGCATGTTGTGTTGGAGCTCATTGGTTTCGACATATGTAATGTATTTCCAAAGTATACGGAACAATAAAATTACTGAAAGATGGTGAATAGTACTGAAATCTTGAAGTTAAGTACTGGCACACATGCATCCACTGTTCTGTGATATGATTTTTACCACTAAAAATAATTTATAATAAATGCACCTTACATATGATTTTCTAGACACTTACAGCTGAGCTAAATACTTTTTACCTGAAATATGTGCTTTGGGTACCGCCTCCCCATTTTCTGTGCCTTGGACGTTTAGTATTCCTAATTTTAATGGGCGCTACTGCTATCCGTGAATATTTTGAATTTCTTGATGATCCGTAAGTTCAATTGTTTGACGCTAAACAATACTAATTATGTGTGCATTCGATATTCATGAGCTATCAACCTATATATTCTTTAGTGAATTATTTGCAAATAAGTGTGGACACAAAAACCTGTAGCCGCTAATCACTGCCTTTCAATTGGAACTGATCAATTTCACATAGGGTAATCGAATCATCAAAATACTCATCCAGTTCCGAAACTACAACTCTCCTTATGGATATCACCACAAAACGATAACTACGTGGAGTTTACCTAGTGTAAAGGTTTATGTATTAACTAAAAATATTGCCTGTAACAGCATCTGAATCGCCTTTCTTTTGTAATGAATGACAAATGTGAAATACAAAATTGCTTGACACTGTGACAGACTGACAAAGTCGACGTAGAACCTTGCGCACAACTGCATCCACTCACGTTGTCACACTTCACAGTAGTATACAGGTGCATAGAAAAAGGCTCATACCAAAGTAGATAAAGTTTTGTGAGAGAATAAACAATTTGAAGATAAAGGTTAGTGCAAATATTCAACCTTTAAAAGACGTCAAACAGTGGTTACATCTACGCCATTGCGACCAATTTCCAGACATGTCGAAAGTCCTCAACCACTGATTCTTATTGTCTTGGGGACCCCAGCCAGGTAGCCTACACCTCCCCACACGACTCAGACCAACAGTCAGAGATTTCATCGACTAGTGCCACGCTGAATCCGCTTCCAACCTAATCCAGCTTCCGCTAGCATGGCACATCGAGGTAGGCGGTGGCTCTGCATGCGTATATGCCTAGGCCAAGACCCTATGAGTCCAAACAGTATATTCTACATCGTGACGTAGAGCATTTGTGTAATTGCGATCGATTGTGCTGCATTGTTTTAGGTTTTTAGCTGCTGATCTCGACTGCCTCCTAAAATACGTCAATCAGGAAACTACAATTTCTAACTACCAATGTTACGGTATATGTTTTGTCTTGAGTTTAGCTTATTCCTGAATTATTTTTAACCAAGTGTTGTAGTAGGTGGTGGTTTAGTCCACGCTAGATGTCTCGGTCACTACAGTCAATATCTACTTACAATACTACTTGGCAATCATAAATGTATTACTTCATAAGAATGACGTTTAGGGATTGACATTGTGAACTCAGATATAAACTAGATTACTGTTGAGTGAATTAATCTTCTTGATATCACATGAAGCACATAAATTAATTTTTTTTCACCCAGTAAATGTAAACGATTAGGAAGACAAGCCTGGATGTTGGCAAGCATAATCATCACTGAACTCCTGATTGTAATGAAGTTTGGTTGGGACGTAATTACCATACCACTCCCCGAGCACGTATGTATCTTCTGGTCATTGATTTTAACTGGTTTGGTTTTATGGACTTTTTGGCACTTTTATATTGTACCCTGGTTGTTTCGATCGACTCGTGAATCAAAAGCAGATAAGATGGAAAAAGTTCTGGAAAATGATGATCCGCAGAATAAAATTGAAGTAGATAATTCTGTTGTCTATCGACGTGGAGTTAGATCAGCAGTGAAGTTTAATCATTCTTGATCAATTTTCTGACTAAACTGTAACTATCATAAATATGACATATCTACTTGCAATGAAGGTTATTTTACTACCTTTTAAATCAGAAATATTAACTTGTGTACCAAAGCTTGTCTTTTTTTATACTTTAAACTCCAAAAACATATACAGAACTACTAAAGAAAATAACTGATTTATGTATACATTCAGCCATAACCTCATAAACGATAGAAATCAACTCACTATTCATATTTTCGATATTTTAAAAGGAATGAGGTGTGGAATTAGTGATACAAAGTGAAATAGTTGTTGAACATTCAGCATAGAACAGATGCAGGCTTTTCAGAGAAAGTAAGCAAACACTACATGAAATTTTATAAGTAATCAGTCAAACGAATAATTGAGATGCAACATATAACCTGACCTTTTCAAAAGTCATCCATACACAAGCAAGTTATATTAAGATTAAGCTTTTGGATCCTTCTTCATAAACTTTTGAGTGGCCAATGGAAACTGTGCTGCATCGAAATCTGGATCATTCATCAAACGCACAGCTATGCGATCAGATACTATATCCCGAAGAGAGTTAATGAGTTCTCTATCCGCCGCTGGTAATTGTTTCAATTTCGTTAAGTTTGTATCTTCTGTAGATTGTTCTTTGTTAACATCATCGTTGACAATGGCGTCGGATAAACATTCCGTGAATAATTGATCAGGTGACTGAGGTAAAGATCTTGAGTGATCTTGCATAACCTGGTCGTGGAGCAAAGAAAAGAGGAAACAAAAGTGCATCTAAGTTTTTTATAAGGCTAGGCGTTTCAATAGTAATGCTAGAAATATCTTACTAGACAATTGAATTCTTAGCAAACTATTTCTTCAATCGACATTAATTAGTCACAGTAAACGTTACTAGCTTTTAAGCCTACCATAAAAAGACGATCCTGTTCATGTCAACCGTAGTAAATCCCTATACATAGGTAAGATCAAGTCATTAGGACTGATTTAAACTTCTACATTATACAAGATAGTAAATTATACTTTCATAGCTGAGCAACTCCCATCCTATTGAAGAAGTAATGCCGGAATTCAAATCTAAAGGACCGAGTAAGTTTTGAAATCCAATTTCTTTCAGTAACCTAACCTCGCCAATGAACATTTGGCGGTTTGACTGAATGAGGTGTCAATTTATCCTCTGGCATTTACATAGATTTAAGTACTTGTATATTTTCCTACTAGTTCTTGCTTCAACACAGTGTCCAAATTCAGGGAAACAAGCAAAACTTTTCGTGCCCGTGCTCACACAAAGATATCTATTTTTATGGTATTAAAAAACGATGAGATGTGGATTTATCAGTATGGGAGATGTTGAGACTGAGTCGTAATTTAAGTGACGTGAATTGACTGACGATCTTCAAAGTATAACATAACCTACTTGACATTTGAAAACACAGATGAGACAGAGATGATAATAGATTGAAATTCCAATGAATTATGCGAGTGGGAATCAATTATTTTTAATGAATTTGATGCATCCTGTGTAAAGTACATAAGCGCTATTATCCATATGTAGCAATGAACATAAAAACATTATTACCTTCCGCCTTTTAGCGGGCATGCCTGCTATGTATCCATCACTAAACCGTCCGAAGTGATTAGGATCATCTGAATCTCCTGGGTTACGAGACATAGTCGACATATCACTAGTCACAACATGAATCCATGCCGGAGGTAATACTGCATGCCAACCTTCTACTTCATTCATAGCCCCTGAATCATCCGTGGGCCGGATAGAATTTGGATTAGGATCAAGTGCACTCATTCTAGAACTCGGTAATTCCCCTGGCTTTGGTGTCCAATCGGGCAAAGCAGATATCTTGGCTTGTACTCGACCAGATGGCATTTCACTGATTTGCTTTGAAGGTTGCTGCATGAGAGAAGTAGAAAGGTTCATTTCATCGGAAGGCAAATCGGAATATGCATCTAAAAATGGCAAGTCTTCGTCATCAAAGGCATCCCTCTGGATTTCCCCGTTTGACTGGAAAAAAAAACAACAAAAGTTCGTGTCACAATGGCAACTTGTTTCTTGACTATATACTTACCTGTTTGTCTACAGATTAGCTAATAGAACGTATCGGAAATTAATGTCACCTACAGCAACTGTCTATGAAAGCTGATAAATGATTAGGAAATTTAAAAGCGTTTTGTTACTAAGCGGGCTGACAATAATGTATATGGAAAACTGTTTCCAATGAAAAAACGAAGTACATCCTATCATTTTGAGAGGAACACTAGTCGTATCTCAGATCGACATTGGTCAGAAAATCGAAAACCTGGGAGCAGTGGATAGTTGTTTCATCCTACCTTAGGGGTCCTCAGTAGCGCGAACTCATGATCATATTTGGGATTGAAACCAGATCGGCACCAACCATTCGTGAAAAATCTGTGAAAATCAATGACTTTACTACAAACCTTCCAAGTGAATCGTAATTTATGTTCTACATATTTGGAGGTGAAGCTAATGAAAGAGGATGATAAGGTAAAAATCGACTTATAGTTGAAAACTGTTTCTCCTCTAAGAGATCCATAATTTACTAGCAAAAAATACTATTTTTCACATCAACAGTACAAGGAAAGCAATTCATTTTGTTCCTGTGGTGCTGTGTCCATCCGTCCAACTAAAATTTACATGACCTGGAAAATCCATTTTTATTTTTCGTTGGATACACTGAAAAAAAGTTTTATTAATAGTGTTAACATGCTGATAATAGGAAATTTCACAATCAGATTTAAAACAGGAAGTAGAAACCACTAACCGGATCGACCAGCATAGGTGAAGGCATCTGTAGTTTTCGGAATTCCATATATGCAGACTTTTGATGTGCCACCTTAGCGCGCATCGTGGCTTCATCCATATCGCAGTACGCTCTAATGCAATTCTCAAGTCCCGTTACAAAGTTCTGACCAAAGTCAAAACCTTCATCATCTACAAAACATATACGAAACCATGCATTGTGATATAACAGCATAATATTCACAACAATACAACTCGACTCCGCAGAGAACATTATGTACTTTACTATGAGCCACGCTTATCATGCAAGGGCTAGTTGCCTAAACTGAAGGTGGAGCACGAGTAACACAGGAGATGGATCAAATCACTTAAGTGCAATGAAAACTGGATTTTCGACAAGCTGATTGCCTTACAACTATAATATTTACATATCGAAGAAAGTAAGTCAATTGCGCACCCACGTTGGCTTATTATATTAATCACTTAAACTGCGTCCAAGACTTACTGTACAATCCTTACCACTAAGAAAAGTTTGAATTTGCAGCAACTGAGATCTATACAGACGGTTGCAAATAATTCATGTTACTTGAGACTATCGGTTATGAATATATAAAGTCACTTCCTAAATTATTAAGACGTAAAAAACGAGCAATTGGAACAACACGTAATGATGCTTAAAGAAACCGATGTCGATGAAACATCACATTCAAAAGAAAACTTTCTTGTTCGATTCCACTTTAATCTGTTTATTAGAAATGTCACACAGTGAAACAGTACCATTCACTGTGTGGCATTTCTAATAAATATACAAAAATGGAATTACAATCTACCATAGGGCCCAACTTTTACTCCTATATTTCTTGTTCGATAGAGTATCATTAAAGGATGAAGTGGTGATGCAGACAAAGCAGGAAGGTTAGTATAAGTAAGGACGAAGATATTGAGGATTTTGAACAGATTTCAGCAGCCCCCACATTTGTATAAGTTCCATCCACGATTCAAACACAAAGACACTGCCTATTATATTTTCAAGTTAAAACTTCATTATAAACTTCAGGAAGAAGAACATGTTCGAGTACATTTAAGCTAAACTAACTGAGGTTTCGGACTGTTGTCTCCTCGAACTTAACTTTTGATGATCTTTTGAACGAGAAGTATTTTCTAAGCCTTAAGCAACGACAACTACCTATCGTCTAGTTGTCAGTTTACAATGCAAACAGGAAACTCATCAAACAAAAGGTATAGGTCAAGTTTTTCTTACCTTCGAGTTCTTGCAAAAATGAATTGCAATAATCTAACAATGTTTCAAAACCCACTTTGATACCAAATACCTGGGTTCGAGTTTCTTCTGAACATCTGGATGTATTAAATTGCTCAGCTCCCAAAGAAGATGTAAGATGGCTTGTCAAGATGTCAGCTAGACACAGAAGGTCTGTGCAAGCAATTTTGAGGGTCATAAGGAGGGTGTTACCGAATCCAGTATTTGTTGGACTGGCTCTCCACAAATCCAATTGAGAGGAAATAATATACTTAAATTAAAATGCGAATGAAAAAAAAAAATTAAATTTTCGTATTTTCAAGAAGATAATGACTGATACTTGTTATATAAGTTTAATGATAGACATTTCTGACTATTTACATAATACATAGCGCATGCAAGGGCTTGTGATACTACCTGGTTGCCTAAACTGAAGGTGGAGCACGAGTAATAAAAGTGCGTATGTTCACATGCATCGAGTCTCATAGAACAGAACCTTAACTTAGCTCATGATGGAGTGTCATATTTACTGAGAATATGTCGATTTCTGTTAGTAAGTTAAGATCTTTATCAACATGCAAGTACAATTTGTTACCATATTAAGTACTTTCCTCTGAACGTTTACACCGGTAAACTTCAAGAAAGTACAAACTATTGTAACAATAAGTGAAAAAAGCCTACAATGCTATCCAGCAAATATGTGTCACATGAATACTAGAGAACAAAGGACTACTAAGATTTGTGCATTTCACATCAAAATGCACTCACCAACCTTGTGGACGTTCGTGCAGTAGGCGATGAACCACACCTATTGTGCGAGGGCTAATGATATTGACCGATACTCTGTAGGTGGTACTGGGTTCGAACCCGCAACCCATCGGTTGGCAACCGAGTGCCTAGACTAATGAGCCACCGCCGCACGTGTACTTCAAACAGTCATGCTTTTCATCGTCAACTCCCAACATGAATAGATGATCTTATAGCATTGTAGTAATAGCAAGACGGATTAGTCCTGAAGAAAATATCATTACGAAAGTAATCTAATTTGGATCATGTAACTGTTTAGCAGTAATTATCTTATCCGACATTATCGGTGGTAGCTGTAAAAGGGAAATAGGCATGAATTTTTCCCAGCCAGCAAAGTACAGTGATATTTGATGTGCTAGGAAGTTTTCAGGAATTGCTGTGTAACATGAAATATAAGTAGACAATGGATAGCTACTACTTGTTGGACCACATAACGGTTCAAGTAGTTTTCGTAAATGACAGATGTTTGGTTTCCAAATGCAGATCGAAACATATCCTAAGATCAATAACACAGTTTTTTTAAAGATTAAAAACTTACCCTACATAATTTCGCAAATGATGCTGTAACATCAATCACTAGTTTAGATGGGTTGTCATCGAAGTTTCGCATCCACATAGAATATTCACTGTGAGAGACATCTGATAATCTACCTCTGAAAATAGTGGTGACCAAAGCATTGACTAGTTCCGACTGATTGCTCCCCATGACTGAATTGGCACAGAGCAGTAAGTGCTGTAAATGTTCACGTAAACCATCTAGAGATGATGAAGTGAAATGATCGCAATTATCATTATCAGATTGAGCATTTATTTCGTCACGAACAGCAGTAATAATATGACTTATCAACCCAATGGATACATTTTGAGTACGTGATGGGCTGCTAACGGAAACATTTTGATCTTTGATATCTGAACAAAAGACAAAGTCATAATGAAATTGAAAGCTAGGAATATTTCACTTTTCAAAATGCAACTAAGTTTTTAAATGGTTTATACGTTTGTGAATCAGAATATTAATCAGCATCAATTATATGACACTTACATTTGCACGCAGAAGTGGAATTAGATGATAATTGAGAAACTCTTGACCAAACTGTTTTTATGAGGCCATCTATGAGGATACTGAAAATTTGAAATATCCCTTCAAGTTGTAACTCAGTGATTTCATTAGCTGTCCAAAGCGGTTTAACTTGAGAAACAGTACCTTAAGTGAGCAAAATATACAAAAAGTATTAATCTGGCTATCATGGTAACAGTGTCACAGCACACATTCGCAAAAAACATATCTAATTAGGATTTTGAGAAAGGAGGAAACATTAGTAAAATTACGCATTAAAATATTGAGATCGGTTGCACCTTGGTAAGATAAGAAGTATATGTCATAATGTCACGATGAATCAAATTATGTATCGACGACTATACGCATAGCAGTGATACAAAAAAAGATCAACGCCAAACATTCACTATCATGTGTTTTGTTTACGATGCGCCCCTTTTGAAGTACGTATGGGACTCTAAACAGGCAAACGTCCAACATAATGACCAATTTACTCAAGAAAGCTAATTCAGTCCATTTGAATTACTAATAAGCTACATTTTTTAACTGACTTAGTCTGCTATAGATTCTAAAAGTTTGATCTAGTTGCGTAAGTAGCGTGATGAAGTGTGAATAGATGCATACTTATTCCTACTTCCAAATAACAGCTAAATACAACAACCAGTGGTTGCGATGAGGCTGTGGCTGTTGTCTGAACTGCTGAGTTACTCTGCCTACTTCAACTGGGTAATATCATAAGTTCTTATACAACGAGTGTGGCTCATAGTGTACATACACATGTTGAGTTGCATGATAACTTAACTCGGTGAAGTATGGACTAGTGCTACATTTATCCGAATCGTGTAGTCATATATTTTCTTTTAGCTCATTGTCAATCTGAGTCAGCTGGGTATCTATATTATTTCGAATTACGGCTCATAAACGCAATCGTTATGATTCAGATGAGTCAGTATTTGACCTTTCTCAAGAATCTATGCACCCAATTATTTCTTAACTGCTATTCCCATGTATCTTCGTATTTATTTACCAATGTCCATAGCATATTCGCATTATTTTACTGACCATTTGGTTGTTTTGGCGTGAAGTGTAACATTGCAAACTGATACGATGTTTAGGTTTGCCCTTTACCATCATCGGAAAACGCAATTCATGAGATTCGATAGCTAATATCCACTCGACCGCTTACTGGGATTGAACGACAAGTAAAATTAGGTATGCTACGTTAGAGAGAAAGCGAACTGGTAGTTCATTCGTACTTCTTTAAATGTAAAATAAAAACAAATTTGAACGGGTGCATTGTTGTGTCTCATCTTGAAAGATCAACATTAGGCCTTGGCATATTACTTTACATTCCTATCCACATAATCATCGAAAATTGACGAAATATATGTGTACGTATGAATTTCAAAATATTGTATACAAGTGTGTATCAGTTGAAGTTATCACATTTTACTTCGTTAGTACACCTTATGTCGATATCAGTGAAATGAAAAGAACGTATCCCACTCTAACTGAAAAAGTTAGAAAAACAATGTAGCGATAGTCGGCAGTGATTATAGCCACGAGTTCCCGATATTTGAACTGAGAAATGATGCCATCTATGTCTCAAAAGGCAATAAAAACCGAATTTCTACAGATATTCAGGTTTATTCGCAATATGCCACTGGATTTTTAAGTAAAATGAAGAGTACATCAAGTTTAGTTTATATATGCTGTCAGGTGTTTTAAAGTAATGGCTGTTTTAACAATGTAATTGTTACTATTTATTGATATACCTGTAATTCTCCGTTGTTTCATTGGATCGAATTGTTCGAACTCTGTAGACATATGTGCTCCTAAGCGGATGCCTCGATATTGCCTGAAAGTCAGTTGTGGTAATTTAGTTAGTTGTGGCTAGTAGAGGAATCCAGGACGTGCGTTCCATTCTATCTGGAACTCATCAGCTGGATGCACCTGCACCCTAGTGAGTAATGTTGCCCCCACCGAGACTCGAACCCCGTACCCATCGCTTCAAATGCCAAGGCGTTATCCAAGAAGTGGCTATCGTTCCTCCGTGGGACAGTGGATAACGCCTTGGCGTTTAAAGCGATGGGTACGAGGTTTGAGTCTCGGTGGGGACAAAATAACTCGTTGGGGTGCAGGAACATCCAGCTGACGAGTCCCAAGTAGGACGAGACGTGTGTCCTGGACTCCTCTGCTAGCCACAACCAACTGGATGTAATTATTATTGCTATTACCATAATTATAAGTTGGGTGATATATACCATGAAATAGTTTGTTTCTGATTAGCTACGTAACCACTGGTTGGAGGAATATAGTTTTCCATTTGCTCCTTTACTCATTCACTTTACGTTTAATTTACGCTTGGCAAACATTGAATGTTCTATGAATTCACCCTCAAGGCACATATTAGTTTTTTTGTATCTCACTGATTATGTATCCCGACAAAAGACACGAATCATGGAAATTACTCAGATTTATCACTATTTTATACTTCGTTGAACAAATACGTATATTCTCGATTGCAGGCAACACGTGCGTAGCTGAACTCATCACCAAATGAACGAGAAAACCGATTGAATGAAATGCAGATTCAAAACTTATTTCTATCTGGGGGTTTGAGGAGATTTAATAGTTGATTTTAAATTGGAACTCATCATCATGGACTGACATCAGCCGGAGGAACATTGGAAACCTGGGACCACCGAGGAGTCCCATACTAGGGCGAAACAGCTGTCTAGTGATCCCAGGTTTCCAATGTTCCTTTAACCGTTTTTAGTCCATGATGATGATGATGAATTCCAATCTAAGATCAATTAACAAATCTCCACAAACCTCCGGATATAATTAACTTAGCGCTCATTGGTGAATAGCTTCGAAAGATGATTCCCGAAGCTCCAATGAGAAGTCGTGACCTGTGGGGTCAAGTCGAACATGAAGACGGTTACTCAACGACGACATTGGATGTAGGTCACGCTAAATCGTTAACTGACAGAAGTAGGAAATATCGACCATTGGATTTCAACCCAGTGGGTCGATGGTAGCGTGCTGGCCGCGGAACCTGTAGGTCCTGAGTTCGATCCCTGGTGGGACAAGGTGATGGATGCGTCCTGCTAAGGAGTCCCGTACTAGGATGAAACAGCTGTCTAGTGCTCCTAGGTTTCCAAAGTCTCTTCAACTGATGTCAGTCCATGATAATAAATCCCGACCCAAAATCAAAACTTATTTCTCATAATAATTATTTCCAATGACGTTAGAGCACCACTGTATAATAACTACACTAGGACAGGGTTAATTATTGACACTAGATATAGTTTGTATTTGTGTAAGTTAAAGCGCGTTGGAAATCGAATAATTCCAATGTTCCGCACGGCAGTCTGGTTCGGGCTTCTTTAGGGAAATAATCAAAATTAAAATATGGAGGATTTTATAAATCAATCCCAAGACGTGTACTTAATCTCCTTGGCCAGTTCTCTTCATATAGTCACTGTCTTTCTAAAATATGATTGCTAATCAGATATGTAACTAATACGTTAACATCATTTTGTGAAAATCCAGGTTGTGTAACAACCTAACTTATCTATCAGTCAGAGTTTCTGTTCACCGAAAACCCAAGTTCCTTTAGAAACTGTTATTACGCTAGGTTTGTCCGTACCCATCGCTTCAAATAGACTGGCCAAGGAGGTTAAATACACGTCTTGGAATTCATTTTTACGTATCCTTGGTATTTTAAAACTGGGTATTTCCTTGAAAAAGATCGAATTAGACTTCCGTGAGAAACGTTGGAATTATTTAATTCCAAACATGTTGTGGCTTACACAAATGCAAACTATATCTCGTGTTAACTTTTTATTCAGTGCCCAACATTCGCGATACTATTCGATCAGTCTTGATCATAGTTTATATAAAGGTCAATTATTGCTGACAGTAAGCTAGGTAACTGCTTTTTTAAGCGATGAAACATATACGTATAACTAGTTTATTTTCTGTAACTCAAAGAAATACAATATACCATGTGCAAACGACTTCGATATTAAAAGACTTTCACCTATTTGTTGACATCTGCATTAATTTTTAAATAGTGAAATATCATTTGGACATTAACATTGCAAATTATGAAGTGTTGAGAAAGCAACATGCAGAGAAAGATCTTACTTGAAGAAGCTGGTGTTGTTGATGTATTTGTCATAGTTGTTCGAGCAGGTGAATTGATCTCCTGGTTAGCAATTCCAGAAGTAGTATTTAACGTTGCAGATGTGGTTGTTGTGGTGGCCATTACCGGATTTGACGGATTTACACTAAATTGTATAGGTGATGACGAAACAAATAAACTGAAAGGTGACGAACCAGAATTGAGAGTATCATTATTTACAGCTGAGACAGCAGCATTGGTAGCAGCAGAAACAAGAGATAGTAGTTGTTGTGACAAATTAATTCCTGAACTGAGGGAGAACAATCCAGGTGGTGTTCTGTTTTCTGTAGCTGCAGAAGTTGTTATAGATGGATTATTACTTGGTATGTTCGTCTACAACACCATTGAAAAGTGATGAATGAAGTGGATAAAAATAAATTGTAGAACTTCAAATAAAAACTCAAAATATCTAGCTGAAGTTAATGAAGAGTAATTTTCAGGAATATCCCGTTAGAAATATGCCTTTTTTATTCATACCTTGAAAAATATTTCTGTTGACCATCATGTTGAAGAGCGTAGTGAATGGAAAACGAATCTTTCTAGATTTTATTATACTATCCAGTATCCCTTGACTCATTCATTTTTTGAGAATACTGGGACCCAACCTAACACAATCCTCTTGTTGAGACACAGCTACAGCAGTTCAGGAGTCAGATTGTAACAATTTCTGTGCAAAAGACATAAATGATTACCACATCGTAATGTTGACCTTCAAACTGGGAAAAGGATTGAAAAGGTGCTATTACCTTTGGGGATATGGTTCATTAGTTGGTGCACTCAACTTCCAATCACAAGATAATAGTTTCGAGCCTTGCTACACCTACTAGAACGTGGACATTAACTCCCGCACAACAGATACAGTTCATAGGCCGGTACAATCTGTACGTGACGATTGCGTTCCTTATTCGAAAAGTGTGTGTAATGAAAAACCATACTGCTACGATGCGGAGTTGTGAGTACGAACGATAATACTTAATGATTGATGGCCAGGGGTTGAGACGGTTCAACCCGAGTGATTCGTAAAAGACTGGAAATTAGTTAGGTTTATAGTATCCCAAACTGAAAACGTTTATTGATGAAAACTGACCCTATTTATATAGTTTACAGTAACCTTGAAAGGCGAGGAATAATTAGTACATTTAATGAGGCAAGAGCCAATCAGAGTACCAGCGGGTCATACGAAATATGACCCAAGCGCGGGAAAGAGTGCGAAGTAAAACAGTTTAAACATACCCAAACTGTAAGTATGGAATGTGAGGAACATAGGCACCCCTAACACATACGAATGACTAAAACGTTTTGTTTAAAAAAAAGCGAAACTAGTAAGCATAGACGTTTTTGCTTCCGAACTATGATTAAAACGAAAGGTGACATGTCACGTTTCGCCAAACTGTCCGAATGACAATGAAAAAAACTGATGAATGCTATTCAGCTGTCATTCGGCGCGACTGCACTGCTTACCATGTTTGCCTAGTAATGAAAGCCAGGATGTGTTTTTCTGGAACCAAACCCACTAAAAATCTGAGGTAAGCCTACAGGCAGAAAATGGTCTTTTTTTCTACCGCGTTTCAACAACCCACAAATCATCTCATTAATATCAAAAAGACTTTCAATCGACAATGGTAACTAGCGACTTACTGGCATAGATGCATCGGAGGATAACGGGACTTGAGGGGATAAAGTAGGTTGTGGATGATTGTTACGGCCAGTAGGATTAAAAGGTGTTCGTATATGATTATGTCGTTCAGTGTTAACACTACGTGGAGCAGTGATGTTACATATTGGTGTAAGAGGTGGTGGCGGCCCAAGTAAGTCACGCATCGTGGAAACTTCATGAGAAAAGTGTCTGGAGTTGCACGCTAGGAATGGGTCGATTGAATCAATCATCGAAAGTGGAGGCAGCGACGGGCGAGGAACCGTATTAACGTTAGTATGAGTAGACGGTAGTGAATTAGTGGTATTAGTTCCAGTTCGCGCTGTAGAAGATACTGACGTTGAACCAGGAGATGGGTGTGTTGAAATTCCAGAAGAAAGTGATGTTAAAAATGGGGCAGCTGGGAGACTGAATGTATTCACAGATATTATTGGAATGTCAAATCGATGAATAATAGCAGTACGTCCATTACCCAGAGAAGTAGTTGTCACTGCAGAATTAGGTGTGCCTAAAGAACTTGTGACAGCAGGAGCTAAAAAATATTAAGATATCAGTTGAATAATGGCATAAATATTTTGACAGAAACTTGCTGTCATCGAAAAAAGCAGGCCAAAATAAAGGATATGGGAAAACTGATGGATCAAGTAAAACTAATAAGTGATGTAAAATACATTTGAAAATCGAAAAGTAAACAATATATTCTGCGAATGAAGAAACAAACAAGTGATCCATAACTTGTGCAGTAATGGCATTAATACCTTCAGTGTGGCTGAATTAATCAACTTGGTGGTTTGATAAAGCAGACGGTGGACAAGAATTGTGAATCACAAGATGAAGGTACCGCTAAAGTAACCTATCATAGCTTATTTGGACAAACCACTAGTGTGAAGTACATTATTTGAATATATAAACAAACTAATCATTAACTATGTGAAAAAAAGCAAGTCTACCGAATGCGGTCATCACAGAGAGTAAGATGGATTGTGTATACGTTGCAGCACAATAACTGCAGCTGAAAATTTTTAACAGCTTTCACAGTTTGTGAAACATCATGCAGGAAAATGGATTCAGAGGAAAACTTTACACAAGTATGATCAGAGAGTAATATCTTTTGAAATCATTTCTTCAATAAACCTCTTCTGAAGGTTAAAGCATTTTGTGATAAAGAAATGTACCTAACTGAGAAGTATTCCAGGTCTTATAGGATTCGGATTGTAATCAACGACTTCATATAAACTCGAGTACCTTTACACACAGACTGCACTAATTCCCTTAAGCAAATACAGAAATGATGACTAGTGAATATGAAATTAATCTTAAATCTAAGAGAAAATCTAAGATTTCACAATTATATTCAAAATAAGATACTTAAACTTACCACCTTCAGCCTGACGATTATTAATACGATTTACGTTCGACGCTGATCGACTTCGAATGCTAAAATGTCAAAAAGAGACTAAATATATTACGTTTGAAATAAGAAGAGTACTTTTGTTACATGACTTGCAATTTTAAAACAAATGCAGTAAATCAACAAAATTGAAGAACTTCCTCGAGAAAGTTAGGTGAATTTGACACTTAGACGCTTGAAATCGAAGGTTTTCAGAAAGTAACGAAACTAGTAGAAAAACAAAGACGGCATATTTAACGATTTAGTAAAAATGTAAGGCTCATTTAAGTTTATATCTAAAGTAACCAGGTACTGATACTTCCAGTAGTGGTAATTGAGCTGAAATAAATTTCAATCTACTCTGAGTACAAAAACTGCACGGTACTTTCACCACCTTCATAAATCACACCTGATGAGTGGTGAGTCAGTTTATCTGTTCAAAGTTGCTGTATTTAGTTTTCACACAACATTTCTGAAACATGCATAAGTTTGAGATGACCGAGAATCTGTTTACATTATGTTGGTGGTATCACCGCTGATGTTATCTACAAAAGCAACGACAGGTTTACGATTAGACCATCCAACTCAGAGAACATAACACGATTCTGTAGTCAGTGTTAAGGTGCAAAAGGACTTATTTGAAAGAATTGCAAAATCAAAGTTATCAATGACAGCCTAAAAAACCACAAATGAATTACCGTGTAGAGGAGAGAGAGTTGTTTGTAGGATGTTCAGTCCTAACTGCACGCGTTCTTTGTTCATCCGCAGCGGTTGCCAAAATAGTAAGATCAGGTGGTTCTACGCTGATTTGCGCACGTATTCTGCGCGTATCAGTCTCAGGAACAGTCAAAACACGGGAATATCGTGCAGTAGGCCTTGTTTCTGTCTGTGTGATATGAGTTGTGGAGTCCGTTAGATTAATCTCGTCACCATCACATTTCTGAGATTCATCGGTTGATGATTTAAGTTCAGAGCTAACTGGCTGAGAAGCTGAAGTGTTACTGACGATTTGTTGTGCATGAGGTTCCGTTACAGTTATTACATAGAAATCTGATATCAAGTGAAGCATATGCGCATTCAAGTGCAAAAGACGGCTTATTTGAGAAAATAGCTGGGAAATAAAAAAGAGAAACAAACATATGGCGCATAATAATAAAAAAAGGCATAGGAAAAAACTGGCTTACAACAAAACCAGTTCGCTTACAAGATGAAATGTCGGAAGTGAACATCGATGCATAGCACAAAGATACAGTACTAACAAGGGAGGTTTTCACTAACCGAAATGTAGATCCAACAGAATCCATTCACGAAAATTGCAGCCAAAGTTAGTTCAGATACATAAACACTAATAGATTTTTGAACCGACTTCGCTGCAGAGTGACGTCATATAGATCTCTTTTCATTACACTCTCAAAACTGAACGTGGTCTAGAAGTATGAAGCGCAAGATATTTCTCGCCTTATACATGAAAAAACAAGACTGTATTTTCTCAGATCTAACTAGAAATTAGTTATTTCAATATAGTATGTTGAAACCATGATATGTACTAACCTAAAATGACAGAAATCCAAGTACCTTTTAATAAGAGTTCAACAACTTTCAGCCTAAACTGCAGTTAATTAACTTTAAAAAGTTTCTAAATTCACTCTGTAGTAAAAGTTTCTCATTATTTGTAATCTAAAAATGCATTCAGTTTCCTATTTAATAATGAGTGAGATATAACAATAAAGCATTAGGTTTGATACCAGAACTACTGGTAATAGGATATACTGAGAAATACAATGCTGATAAGGTCATGAGAAAACTGTGACCCGTGAAAAGATTTGCAATCCAAAATGTAACGTAAAAAAGAACTGTACATAAGATTAAAATCAAAATTACCCGTGGATGCCATTTCGACACTGCCTGGTCTGAACTACACCCAGCTTGAATATTTTCCGGTGTTGACTTGTCCGCATCATTTTTGAGAATGCAGTGATCTTCAGCAGCAGAATAGTCTTCAAATCCACTCACTTCAGTTTTGCCTTCATCAATCAACATTTTTCCCCACTGATCTAAGTAAGGTTCTATTGAATGCCATAGTTGGCGATATCTACTTAGCATGTCTGCTAATAGAGCCAAAGAATGTTGAGATGTAGGATTTGAGGAATCACCTTCAGTTGTTGCGATATTTCCTTGCTCAGTCTTTGGTTTATTGGCGTCGTTATCACGATTTTCGTTCTCTTCTGATAAAAGTTTATCATTTTCCTCAGTGTCCACCATCATAGGTGATGATCCTTTCTGTTTGCATGCTGTCAAAAATGAAAAGATATGATTCATTAGTGCTGATGTAACTTACATCATTACGCACTGGTAAATATTGTCGAAGAAAAGCAGGTAAACCAAGAAAGTTTAACTGTACTGTTGACTTTATTTTTGTATGTATCAACAAACGAAGGGAAAGAGAGGTGGGAATAAGCACAGAAGATATGAAAATTGACCTATTTTTAGTAACCTCTTTATAGACCTCAAAAGTCTGTCACTGGCAAAAACAAATTCTTTTTAACGGACATAAAGTAGTACTGTTGTGGCAAAAAGTGGAATGTTTCCACATGAAAAACTTGAAGGTAAATAAAATATCTATGAGTTGATTCCAGAGTACATAATACTTGTTTGATCAAGATATATACAGGATCCTACTTCATAACATAGATGCCATAATATTATGTAAACCTATTATTTGAATAGTTGGTCAATTTTGAATACCGTACTCAACTCTTGCCTATTGTTAGTTGGAGTTACTTAGTAACCGTGAGTATTCATGACCGAACACTTCAAATAAGCAAACCTGTTTTATTTTAATCTATAGGAAATACTGTACACTTACACAGAGCTGGAAGAGTTAGACACTACCCACAACAATTTCTACTACATTTGCTAACCAACAAACAACTAGGAAGATAAGCAAGTAAAATTAATAGCTCTGTCGGTCAAACATTTTTCTCCTCCAGTATGGTAATGATTTACGTTCGGTACATCAATCAAACATAATGTCAACGACAGTTATTTTTGAAACCACTTTAGAGATTCATTCACACAAATTCGGTGTAATCATATTCTTCTGAAGAGTATGTTACCACTTGTATACAAAAAAGCCTAAGAAATTACTATACGGATGGGAACATAGTCAACTTGACTGCAAACGTTCTATGAAAATGCGTAAATCTTTTCTTCACATAAACATGTGTTGAACTGAGGATAAACAACTAATCCAATGCTGCAGCATAAAGCTTTGTTGAACTACTGTTTAGTGGTCTAGGCACCCAACTTTCACCTTAACTGTCACGAATTCAAACCCACGACTCATCTACTTTTATTCAGACAATTTGTCCTCACAACAGCGTCGGTAACATAGCAATTTTGTCCATAACCAGATGTATAGAAAACCACTTGAAGAGCATGATTAAGAGACAAAGAAAATATTCAATGTGCAAACACAATCAACAAAATTATTTTAATACTTACGGTCTTTTGTTTCATTACAAGAGTCTGTATTTTTCTGGATAGCAGGCAGATCGGTGCAGTTAGACGTGGAAGGAGTTGAATCTGAATCCACTGGTCCTCCATTGCGGTTATGAGAATTACATGAACCCTTAGATGAAGATATCTGAGCTATTTTTTGTGTCAGACGAGTGGCTTGACGATGTAATTTGTTGAAAGTATTTTCCCGCATAGATATCACAGAATGTTCGTCCGGAGCATCACCCACGAGGTCTGCATCACTAGAGAGAGGTATGCTACAAAAGGATTTAGAGAACACTGCAACGGTGAGCTTCGAAATACCATTAGTATCCAAATTCCCTGGCAACACAACTTAAAAAGGTAACCATTAAAACTGTAGATTTTGCATGCCTACCTTACCCCAATAACGCTACCAAGATGTGATACACTGAAAGGCTCATAATGATTAGTAAGTAGAAAGAGTATAATACTCCCTAAAAAATGTAAACCAAGTAAATTCATGCAACTCAACTCGCTACATGCATTACCATTATTTTTTATTCGTACAAAGGTTGCAGAGATCGAAGTAAGTAGGATTGAATTCGAGCACAAATCCTATTGTTTAAAAGTCGAGCACTTATGCAAGTGACACACCTGTAAAAAATGCTATCTGTATGCCATTCCTGACAATTTGTGACCGGTAAACCCCCCATAATAAATCATGTACTTGATATCAGATAGTATTCCACAGAAAGCATGTTGAAAAAATATGAAACTGATAAGCTGTATCATACTTACGATGCCATTGCAAATTAATCGATGGGACATTTTTACAAGTTTAGACGACCATCTTCTAAAGAAATAAATCCGAAACATGATAATCGATGGATTTCCAAACTGATTATATTATCTACATAAACGCTTTCTAAAGCCATATAGGTATTTTAGAAGTTGTGTGAGCTATTACGATTCTTTGTTCGCATTACATGACTGGTATCTATTTATTATATGTTCTTAACTTGTTTCCTTCCACGGTTTATAAAAGGTGATGACGCGATTTTTCATGAAAGTAAAAGGATGGAAGCAAGGGTTCGTTGTTCACAACGGAGTCGGTGGATAAGGATTGTACTTGGAGGAAACAGAAAATTCCGACTTCAAACCAGAGGTGCTAAGTAAAGTTTCGCATCTAAAATATCAGACACGTCTAGAAGAGTGTGCATTCTGTAGACATTTTCATTGCATATGGCATCTCTATTCTCTAAGTGAAATAAACAATTTCGTATGAGATCATTCTGTGTAGTCAGAAGAAAGCTTGAACTTCATAGATGTCTGTGATAGAGCATAATTAAAACAGAGACTGCTTATATGAGTTACAGACAACACTTGATGTGAATAGCTCAGAAGAAAGCTGACTACAAACTATTTCACTTACTTGGGGAGTTGCATCAGCCCGAATAGACTGGTTGCTGACGAAATCCCAGCTCGGAAACAGACGGTCCACTAAGCACTTGCTAATTTGCATCATCTATGGCGCCAACCGGCGAGATATTTGACTACCTATCAAAGGATGAGTATACTGCGCTGCAGTCCGTTCTGTCCTGCTATAAGGCTGAGACATGGTCTTTGAAATAAGATACGAAGCGATTACAGGTTTTTGTCTATAGGTGTTTTCGTAGTATTGCTTGCATATAGCGGAGTCAATATGTATGCAATTTCGAGGTCAGGCGAAAGATACTAGATAAAGAAAATAAGTCAATCGATGAGGGCGATGACATTCAGTAACTAAAGTGGATTGGAGGTGTGTTGCACATGCCGATCCATTGCCTACCTCAACGTGCAGTGTTAACAAAAGTTGGATTAGGTTGAGAAAGGGTTCAGTGTAGCCAGACTAAGACGTGGCACAAGCCATGAAATCTCTGACTCTTGTTCTTGGTCATGTAGGGAGGTGCAGACTGCCTGGTTGGGGTCGTTGAGATGATGGGAATCAGTAGTTAGAGACTTGATGACATCGCTAAAAATCTGTTACAATGACGCAGATGTATTCACTCTCTGGAGTCGTCTGAAGCTTGAATGCTCTCAGCAACCTTCATTTTTAAATTCTTTCTCCTCCCATACATCTCTTTTTACTTTGATGTCAGTCTTTCGCTATCCACTTGTTCGTTGCAAGCAGCTATGAGGTGTAGCGGCTTGAACTGATGCACTTGTGTGTCAGTTTCCATGTCGATTTTGTCTGTCTGTCTAACTGTAGACTGGAATGTCTTTACGTAAGAAACCTTATTAAAGCTATGTCGTTACCAGAGATCCCTTTTGATGAAACACATTACCGGAAGTCAAACACCGTTTTTATGTCAAGCAATAAAGCTAGTATACTGTGTATGTACGAGTGTTTCAGGATATGTCGAGTGAAAACTTGATAGATATGATCATAGTCAGACTTGAAGTTCGTTTGATTTTCTTTAATTTGCTGCGTATGAGGTCCGGTTAAGTGTTGGATGAGGATGAGTCCTAATTCCTCAGAAACCATTCCGGTTAGGCTAATACCTGGGTTATTACGAGTTTTCGTTTTTCTAGCACACAGAACATCGTAACCATTTTGAATCACTGTTTTTAAATACTTCTGGTACCAGACAGTCAGTGACATGGTCCTTTCTCAATTCCATCTACTTGCAATCTTCTCTTAGAGGTGCAATGCCAATGTCTTACTTTCTTTGTGACTGGATAGAGGGAAAATGAAGAGAAACTATAATCCAGTTTAACTGATTCTCAAAGTATTCCGTTCACAGTTTCAACTGTTCTTTAGAGCAAATGAGTAATCCAAATTTTCTGATAATAAGTCCACTAAAAATACAATTTTTGAACTAACAATTCGAATGGATTGTTTAATACTGCTTATTACCCTTGATCGCTCTCTGGGTCACTGATAGCGATCATCGGCAACGAACGAAAGAGACGTAGTCAGCCATCTTGTGCAGTAGGCAGTGAGTCACACCTATTCTGTGAGGTCTATTGATACTACCTGGCTGCCAAAACCTCGGTAGGTGGGGCGGAGCTTGAGCCCATGACCCACTAGTTGATAGTTATTTCCCTAAAGCAATGAGCCAGAGCTCCATGTGTGCTCTTTTGTCTACATTTTCAGCTAATTTCGTTCCTCATTATGCTCAGTCGGATGTGCTTGTCTCCACTTGTTAGGACAACTACCAACCTTTCCTATTGCTCTGCTGAAGGGTGTGCAAACAACAGTTGCCTCCCTTCACTCCATAGTGGAGGTAGCACCAAGTTATGTGAAGATTAGTAATGTCATAATGCACGTGAAAATTCACTCATGAATCACTGGAGAGCAACCTTTTTTTGTTCTCTTGCCATGGGTGATGGTTGATGGTGAGCCTTCTAGCTTGGTGGCCACACTATAAACTGATTGACAGAATTCACTCAGCACTCAGGACTAGAAAAAATGAAATTGATTACCCTCCAGTGACTGACCAGTGTATCTAACCCAGTCCTACAGGTCAACAGAAGTGCAAACAGCTCAGTGGTAATCTTGCTAAACGCAACAACGGGTGACACGGGTTTAATTTACTTTCTAACTCCCAATATTTCAACGCGTGTTATAGCAGAAGTACATAATAAGCATGACGGCTGACCTACCAGATCGTGTAGTACCATCGAAGAAAAATGTTTCTCAACAAGTGGTATGTATTGTAGTTCAGCGCATTTTAAACACGCAACATAACATGAGAAGTAACTTGGTGTCAACAGAATGTTTAACATGAATGTCATTACATTGGTGTGATCACAATGAGTATCCATCTATAAAGAAGGTTAAAGCAAGTAAGTACATGTTAATAGTAAACCTCAAACAAGTGATATAAACAATCACTTACTTGGCAGATCTACTCAGTTCGCTTACACCATTCAGTATACCAGAAGTGATGTCTTGTATCGCCTGTTGCATGCTTATACCTCCAAAAGTGAATCCACCCAAACTCGAACCACTCATGTTGACAGTTGAATCAATTGCTGGAGCATCAGAAGGTTGTTGTTCTCTAGTACTCGGAGGAGGCCTGGCAACTAAATGTACTACTTTCCCCTGTACACCTGATAATTGAAGATGTAAAACCAACCAGTTAATAAACAGATTTTCAGATTCCGACAAAACGACAGATACCTTCTTATGATAAAACTGCTTAGTAAAACTCGTCAAATGTCACCTGAATGACGACTTCAAATTCAATTCAAGCTAGAAATTCCGGCGACTACTAATAGGGCAATATAGCTAATTACCTCTCACTAACTGATTTCCAGAGGCTCATAGATTCTAAAAGTAAGATGGTGGCGACGTATTCCTAAAATCGCAAACAAAGCCTTTGTTAATGAGTTTCCTCAACTTGACAACAGGATTTTAGCAAGAAAGTTCTCATTAAAAACTTGTGGATGTATATAATTTCAGTCCGTTAATTCATGACAAGTCTAAACAAATTGTAACATTAACAACGTAATAACAGAAGAATCAAGTTTCCCAGGAAATTTAGTGATTTAAAGGGCCATTTCAATAACTGCTTGTTATACAAAAAGGGGGTTTTCCCATTAAGAAACTAAATTTTATTCTAGATGGAAACCTGCGTTTATTTCAGCAGTCGCTTAAAATGCCACTTATTAATACGCAACCATCAATGACGTCATTGTCATCTCGACAAACTTTCTTGTTAATCCGGCTACAACCTGATTAGTTTGAAAGGTCGATTATGCTCTCGCCGAATTGAGTGGCTATTCAATAACCTATAAGTTGTTGAATAACTACTCAATTTAACCAGTTTAGAAAATACAAATTCGTTGCAACCTTCGTACAAAGACACAACCTGCGTTTGGTCTGTACTGTTAGTCTGGGATGATTCCACACTTTTGTTACGAATCTGAAGGATAAAACGGTTATTAAAACCAAACAAAAACACTGATACGGTCAATGACATTCCCAACAACAACAGCCAGCATCAATAGTGTGAGTACAGGACACCTGTAGTCTTTTAGCTGCCCCTTTTAGGTCTTGAGGCTTGGTTCTTTTTGTTTGGTTGTACTCCTTCGGTGGTTGCTGAGGTAGAGTGTCTATCTGTAAACTGTAGCTTGGTTTGTTCGGGGAGGTAACGGAACTGGCGATAAGACGAATTAACGCTTTGCAATTCCTGTTTTTGTAAGCACCTGCAAGTAATGGTTAATAGGGTGTGGCGATGAGAAAAAGAGTGGAAAGTACTTATGAAAAGATGTGTTACTGGCAATAATAAGAGAAGATGCGTTGGGAAATACAGGGATGGATAAGCATATCTTTAGCTGCTACCGACAAATATTCGTAGTAAGCCATTTGCGCTCATGTACTTATCCAGTAGTAGTTTGAAGGAGTCGAGTAGTGTAGCTGTGGCCAATTCCTTCGGTAGAGTTTCATAAGGCATATATTCTGTGTCAGAAGTAAGATTTTACTCTTGTCTTTGCCCTGTGATGGCGTTTGCGAGTGGGCTTCCCAAGGGACTGTCGGTTTTGGACCGATAACGTTGACCGATTCGGGTGGTCTACTTGGTGAACGACCATGTGGGCTGTTATCAGGTTACCTTTTCTTCCAAAGCTTCATGTGCACGGACTGAGTTTTCTGAGGCGTTGCGCTTGTTTTGACTGTTAGTACGGCAACAAAACTTGTCGCTCTTCTCCGTATTTGCATCTCTTTTTAGGTGTACGGGGGGGGTGCGTGGAGAGGGGCAGGGACCTATCGTGTTGAGTACCTCTGGGTGCGGTTTAACATAGGTTTTAAATACCATTCGGGACTATTCTGAAGTTAGCACTGGAAGTCGCCTTCTTCGTCGAATTGAGTGGCTATTCAATAACCTATACGTTGTTGAATAACTACTCAATTTAACCAATTTAGGAAAATACAAATTTGTTGCAATCTTCGTGCCAAGATACAACCAGCGCTTGGTTTGTACTGTTTGTCTGAGATAATTCCACATTGTTTTGTTACGAATCTGAAGGACAAAACGGTTATTAAAACCAAACAAAAACACTGATATGGTCAACGATATCCACACCTACAACCGATGAAAACGTACCACATTCCGCTAAGGTTTGTTCATTGTTCAAAACCCTTCCTTGAAAAATCAAGCGTTGCTGGTCTGCTGCAATATTCTACCGACTAATTAGTAGTTTACAAAATAGACATACCAATTTTTCCTCAATGTTGCTCTTGAAACTTTCCACAGTCATGTTCTTTATAAAAGTCAGACAACAAACATCAAATTACCTCATTTTCTATATGAAATAACGAGTCTCTACCATCAAGAGTCTTAACCGTTACATCAAACATCTTCCAGAACGCAAAGAGAGATTAACGCGCCGTTCGTGAGCAACTTCACATTAAGGTATTTAAACACAATCTCCAAAGAATGTTCCTCAGATGTTGTGTAGTACTTATTTCACAGTTTTAAGCATGGGGTACAAAAAAAACCTCCAGGGTTAAAAAGTCAACGATTTTGTTTTTTGCACGACAACCAACTGCTCGGAATCTACAAACCAGGAAATTCAAACAGTTTGAGACGATGTGTGTTGAAATACAGCAGACTTCAACTGAATTAGCCTGTTTGTTTGAGAGTAGTGGACCGACTGTTTCCTTAGTTGCGGCTCGGGGCAAGGGAAGAGATAAGGAAAAGTGTAGAATTAATGGCAAGTTATGAGTAAGTTAGTTCTAGGTCAGCCCACGCTTATATGGTCCAGATGGTTCATAGAGCAATATGAAGAAGAAGGCTTAGCCATCTTTACAGCCACAGCATTTGTGCACCTAAAAACCCCAACATATACAGTGAAATCAATGCGGATTTGTGCAATATAAAACCCGTTTCCCAGGCTAGACCGGTTGAATAACCAAGAATCAATAGACGAGAAGATTGATGCTCAAAATATCAATAAGATGACGTAGTGACGTCAGCCGGCACATTCTAATCTCGGCTCACTGTCTGTTGCATGGGTGAACAAATGGTAGCCAAGTGCATTCCCACATTAGCAGCCAGAAATCCGCACATCGACATACTGGAGACTACTTCATCGTGACTAATCGTATAAAGGGTCACTTAAAGCACATAACACCGGGTTGAAGTAATTACAAGAGTCACGTTCGGCGATAAATCTCGAGATATGTATGAAAACTGATGTAGACTTTCAATTTCCTTGAGTATTTTACAGGAAACAATATTTTACATCCATCACTGATCAAGGTACTGGTTACTCTTAGATGACTGATAACTTTTATCGCCCAAACTCTTAAGAACCGCGCGATTCCATCATGCGTCCGATTCCATCAAGCTTCATCATTTGGGCTCCGGCGTATATTGCAGCAGATAGATGGAGTCCATCCTGGCCAAAAACGTTTTCAGGTATTTGGGTCCAAGTTTAAATTCTTTGCGGTGGTTTAAACGACTTTCATTTTCGTTTGAAGGTTAGAGTTACGCCTGCTCAATCAACCACGCGGTATTGTGAATTTCGTTGTTGTTTATCAGTTTCCGAAGTTTGCATTCTATTTTATGGATTATATTTTCATAACCAATGATCAACGAGAGGAATATAAAGGCCAGAGAAGGCCGTCGACTTCCTGCATATGGTGATGTGCAGCGGAATGGCTGGTATCACGAGACATGCAAATAAATGGCCTGGATAAAATAAACACAACACGGGTCCAAGTAGATTTGTTTGCTGTCCTGATAGTAAGTCCAAGATTGCTTTGGAGATTTCGTCAACCCGCTACCGGCGGTCCGGAGAAGGTTGTTGGCCGGATGAAAGAAAGCCTATGAGAAACCGAAAACGACGCATGATGAACAGTAATCTCAGGTTGCTGGTAGTCAGAGGAAGGAAGAATTTCGAAGACCACCAGACTGAGACAGAAGGACAGTATGTTTGATGAAGTAGAGAGGTTGAGAAAAACCACTGCTTTTCCTTTCGTAAGTCCCCCAACAATTTACTCATATCTAGCGATGCATCAAGTGACGTGGCAATTCCACCAAGGAAGGCCACTTCAACTACAGACTAGTCACTCGTTAATCGTAAGAAAAGCAGTCAGCTTTCGGTCTCGGTCAGGTACATGTGATCTACACAGTCCACATCCAGGCCAGATAAACAAACGATTGAGGTAGCTATACCTAAGGATTCGTTAAATAGGAGGTAATCGGAACTGATGCCAAAGCACGTTTACAGATTCACTGAGTTCAGTAATTCCAGGGGAATAGCAGTTAAGAAGCAGTATGCAATCCGTCAAAAAAGAGCCTGCCTGGTGCGAAAATGTCTGTTACCCTCGGTGATAACTTTGTGATCCTGAGGTTTTAAATTGCCTTAAAAGTAAGAGGTGTAGGATGATACACAAGAACATCTGTCGTCAAAAGCTGCCTAAATCAACCCGACAGAAAACGACAAACAGGCTGATCCGTGGTTATGAAATAGCCACAGTGAGAATTTCAAGGATTCTGACACCAAATAGGAACTAAGGATTCCAAAAGACATCCAGAAGTTGAAAATCGTCGGCGTGAGAGCAAGCTGGTCCAAGTGACTCCGGAAAGAACACGTAGATTGTGCAATATCACTACGACACAAAAGAGGCGAAATGCTTGATTTTAACACATCCTTTGAACGTGTGGTGTACTCTTAGATACTTTAAAAATGGTTTCAACCCGCCGTTTCTTGGGTCGATAACAAAACGGACGGGTAATGTCACGTTGTCTGGAAGTAGACATTTCAGGTCGCAAAAGCACATCATATTTTTATCCCCCGATACTTTGCCTGAGCTGCAGGCCATTGTACTGGCTGAATGAACTGACACCACTAAATTTACGCTCGCACTTCTACTGATTCTTCGTTGTGGACCGGACACTAATCAAAAATCAGCTGACCGTTTCACACTATTTCCTTGAAAGATGTTATCAATAACACCATTAAGATGAAATATCCATTTCGTCTGAAAATATTGTTCTAGGAGTGACTTGGTTGACAGATTATATACTGGACATCCCATATTGTATCATACATATTGGTTGGAATAAAGCAATTGTTATCATTTGAACGGAGTTCAGGTTGGGTGCGTTGAAATCTCTGATCATGAGATGGTGTCTGTTTCTGGTCCAACCACTGATACACCCACTCTTGGACAAATTTGTCAGTTGTAGTGCGGTAGATCATGCTAAGAATAGCTGTGCATTACTGTTGGGAAACTTTGTTTGGGTGGTCGCTCCTTTAGGGTCCAGGTGGACCCTGATATATCCGAAGAAACGAGATACCATAGTGGAGTCTAACAGCGTTCGGTTTTGGGGCCTCTCATATTCCCAACTTGCATAAATGCCTTGCATTTGTGGGTATCCTATAAATTTCTTCTCACCACTAGTGATTTGAAGCTACAGAGAGAAATCACAGATGAGAATTATAAGCTCACTCTGTAAGGTGGTTCGATCTGACGTTGACATTAGGCAGATTTTAATGGACTAGCCTTCAGTTCTAAGTTGTTACATATGCATGGTGATGCATGTCATGTATTAAAACTCAACAGTATAGGGTTGAAGGCATTTTTGGCAGATAAGAATGTTGACATCTTAGTCCATCATGGTCTTGGATCCTACGCTAACCGTGGTCAAAATGCGTTCTGTGCAAATCTGGCACTTGCAACTCTGCCAGGAGCCTTTGAACAGTTCGATCACAGTAACTTCTATCAAATCTTTAATGGAGCTCTACACGAGACCTGGGACTATGGTTTTTCACCCTTCCCTTCAAAAGGATGAGAACCATTTTAGATGTATTCAGAAGCACTGCACTAAACCATTTCATGGAACAAGCCCTGGGCCGCACGATAGACGCATGGCGGCACCCGATCTATGTTCCTTGGAATATGGACAACCAAAATTGGACTTGACGACGATATGCGACACTTTAAATCCTCCTCGTCACCCACTTCGTCATTCGCTCCGGCTAAACTCCAATACGAACCTTAGAGGGAATGCTCAGAAGCCAGACCTTGGAAGTAGTGTGAAGTCGGGCATAACGCCTACTCCCTAAGAGTTCCTAGGGCCTGGAGTACCCTCTCCTTAGGGTTTGTTCAGGCCGAATTATTGGAATCCCATCAACACAAACCTGATATCCACTTGAAGTCATTGTGTGGGTCTGCTTTCTTTTGCATATTCTTTGATTTTACATCTAGGTCCTCAGACATAGAAACTAATAGTACACTAATCCTAGACATGGAAGCCAGTCAAGTGAAAGCTTCTATTCTGTCGACAACTATCTGAAACCACTTTAATCGATTCCTAAGTCAGTGCTTTTTTTCGTAACAGCAACTTGCACTGTAGTATCTCGCGCCTTAGGTTTAAGACTGATGTTCCTACATCGTTGATGGAACATTCTTACACATGTGGGGCAGTCAGTGACGTGAAGAAGCACAAGTATTGATCGCATATAGAATCTGAACCTCTGTGTCTATAGTAGTCAGCTTACTAGGGTCCACAAATCGAGACTTCTGGTGTGGTCTGTTGAGACAGTATGGCAGAGCGGGACAGGATTTTTACTTTAGAAACAAGTATTTCGAGAGCCTAACCAGATTTTGGCGTCTATCTACCCCCAATTACTTCGTTCGTTTGCCTCTTGTCTACCTAGTTAGTCCGTGCGTGTTTGTTACAATTCCTTCTCATTTTGACCCCGTAGTGCCCTTCTTACCTGAATGGCCTGCGAACAGAGTTGCTTATTGCTTCGGGTGGCTTTGCACGTCTGCAGGCTGCGAATGGTATAGGCTGGCATGTTGCATGCATGATCTTGTCACATAAGTTTCCAAAGGCTCTTCACATCCTTTCCGAAATTTTTGTTCTAGGGGCTAGGAAAATGACTGCATTTCTACCTGCAAACAGTCGAAACAGACGGAACATCTTTGCATTGCGACCTTAGGGGTAATCAACATTGCCAGCCCTACCGGCCTACCAATATGTTAACATGGAATAAAAAGACCCCTTTCCAAATGCAGTATTATTCTTGCAGACTGGCAAGGTGCTCCGAATTCATATGTCCCAGTGACTCAACCAGTTGTGCCCTACCGACAGCTGCCACCTTTACGGGGTGGTCAGGCCTGCACATCCCAATGGCTCAGCGAGCTACGCTGATGGAACGATCGCCTCCTCAAGGTCCCACCATGCCGGAGAGGTCTGCTGGATAGCGGTAACATGAAAAGCGGTTACCGTTATGGTGTAGACCACTACGCTGCGATGGGGGGCCGAGGGCGAAATCGTACTGCTGCTGTTTGGACAGGGCGTGAGAGAAGTAAGGTGTTTCCCTCGGATGGCCAGCAGAGCCACGCTGATGCCGCCCCCCCTGTGTGTACGGA